TAATGTAGCATTGGTTTGTGGGTCTAGAATTGGCTTATAGCTCTTTAGGTGGTTCCAGCGGCTTAAAATCAAAAAGGTATTTTTTATTAATATTACAATTTTATTACATTAAAAGGGCAGTATAAATATAATGACAAACTGTGGATGAACGTTGTCTCCATGGATATCATTGGGTTTTTTTTTTTTAAATGGATATACCGAGCGACTCCACCCCTGTATTAAGCCCGGTACTTTGAGGACAGTGTAGGGAATGAGAGAGCAACTACTACAGCAAGGGGAATCTGACAAATCTATCCCCTGTTGTTGTAATGGGAGTGACTGCTGTTAAGAGTGAAAGGCTGTACTCTCACGCACTGTTACATACTCCACTCGCATAGAAACAACTCATCCACTCTCCAGCTTCAAGAGTCAAATGTGGCCTTAAATGGCAAGGCTGGCAAGAGCATACACCCACGCTTTGGAACAAAAAAATGCCATGCACTTTGTAAATTAAATAACACTCAAAGTAGCGCTTCTTAAGCACAGAAACATTCGGTTAGACTATTTGTCTGCTACCAGAAAATTCCAACATGATAAGCAACTTTGTGGAGTTATTATTTGTGGTCAGGCCACTTCTGAAAAAGGGATATTTAGCTCAGTGGGCCTTTCCGAGTAAAATTAAAAAAATAGTTTTAGATTCCTGTTTTATAGACTAAAGAGTTCATTGTATTGGTGTTTGTGAATAATAAATAGTCCGGGAAGTGGTGGCGTGGTTGATAATTCACTCCGCTACAATACGAGTAACATCCGAACCGTTCCTGTGCCTCCTACAGTTCAACTCAGCCTTAAATGAGTACATGGTGAGGTGTGTAAACTTCAGCATTGGGAAAACAAAGGTGGCCGGGCGTGGTCCTAGCCACACCACCCCCTCATGCGCCGTGCCGGTCTTCATAAATGGTCACCAACAGCACTTGCCGCAAGTATGTCTGTAAGCTATATGGGGGGGGGGGTGGTTATCTTTGAACGTGCTCTTAACTTGGGGGGAAAAAAAAACCTCTTTCCCAGTTGTTGAATACTGTACATCAACACATGTAAAGTAACAGTATATAATTGTACACATTATTACACTTTCAACAACTGCCATTCATCACTAAGTGGTCGTGACGTCACCACTGAGCTTGTGCCAGGATAGGTGCACGCGGAGGCCACGTGAATTGTCGTAGGCCCGCTGGAAGGTCTCGTGAGAGACCCAGGTGTTTTGGGTTGACCCGACTGATGCGACCGGCAAGATGCACCACTTGTGCGCTCCACCATGCAAACTTTCAGTGTTTTCGCCACCCGGCACAAATACGCACTGCATCAATTATTTGATTTCGATTTCAAGCTTACGCGCGTGAGAAATCACGTTTTCTCATCCCTGTGTGTTGTATGAATCGGGTTCGCATGACCTCTCCAGCCATTAGGGGGTCGCTACATTCACCGCAATGTTAAACAAATCAACTATTTATGAACCGAATCATGACCCCTGATTTTCGACAATTCCTCGAATCGCACGAGGGGGAAGGGGGAGAAATTGTTGCACCCACAAAATCTATATTAAGTTGCATCTCTTGCCAAAAATCAACAGATAACATGTCGTCACTCTTTGGCTGTTAATATAATTATACACTTCTAATCATATCACTGTTTCATGAGTGTACAGGCATGAGCAGTCAAAACATACAGTATTATACCGTCACGATACACACAGATACCACAATTGATTAAATAACACAGAACCGGTCTTTGGCAACTTTAGGTATCTCAGGATCCATGTTATTGCCTGAGGCTCACAGAGCTCGACTAAGGCACCTTTAAGATTCTTAGAGTTGAATATTATTGCCCAAGGCTCAGAATAAAGCACCGTTAGGATCCTTAACAATAAGTGTTCATGTCTAAGGCTCAGAGCCAGATACTGTGTTCAACTAAACTACTTTGTTTTACTAGGTACGGTCCACTGAGCTACAGATCTCTTTTTCAGAAGCGACCTGGCCACAAATGATGGCTCAATGAAGTGGCTTATCACGTGTAAATGCATAGCAACCTAAATACTCTAAACGCATGTTGATTTCTAAGTGTGGAGGGAAAAATCGGAGATAGAGAAAAATCCACGCGACCATGGGGAAAACATGCAAACTCCAAATATAAAGCAGGCGTCAGGATCGGTATCGAACCCGCAAACCTCCTGTATACCAGGCGAGGTAGTTAACATCTCGCCACCGTAAAGCTTAAAGGGCTAGATTGAGACGCAATTAACTATGTTAATGGTCAATGTTAATGGTTGCATCTGATGTATCCAAGGCACATACCAAAAATCCTTAAAGTTCAACATTACTACGACCTGAAGCTCAAACAGCCAGACTAAATGCATTATCAGCCAATTCACTTATGGATAAAGGCCTCGTGCAGCCAACGCCTTTCTCTCACATTCTTGTGATGTACTAATCCATAGAGCTCATGTGCACTAGCCAATCCCATGCCTCCATCTCTCCAGTGGGCATATTGCCAGGCCGCATTACATTATCCTGGCTGACAAATCCGTTATTGTTTGTCACCAGCCAAATTGAATGCCTCACAATTATTCGATCCAAACTAATTTACCCTTCGGCATGCTTAAACATTCCACGTTATTACCGCAGGCTCACAGAGCCAGACTAAGCCCCCTTTGTAATCCTCAGGATCCAACATGAATCGCACAAGACTAAGCAGAATAAGTAATGTATTACAATACCCTACATGTTTCTGTGATAACGCATTGGCGCACCAGCAAAAAAAAATGATTAAAAACTTAACACGTTGGTAATAAGAGACAAAGTTTTGGGCAATGGTCTTTCTTTAAGGCAGAGAGAGAGAAGCCAGAGACGAGGTTAACAAATGGTTAGGGCCCTGCTAGAAATTACATTTTAAGAATGTTTAGAGGTGAACGGTGTGTTTGTAGGTGCAGTATTCAGAAACCGGCCAACCCCTTAACACAACACAAAACATGCGCAAACTCGTTTGGATAACAGGCGACGTTTCGGGCAACACCCCTTACTCATATTACGGTGAGGCATCCCAACAAAAGAGCGTAAAGAACTCCCATACAGTGCACTGGAAGGGGCACCCAACCCACATTCCTCCGGGGAGTGTTGGGGGGGGGGTTAAACATAGCTCACAAAGTCAACTAACTCTCTCTGTGCACGCGCGCTCACTTCTCACAACGCCACTTGCACCGATCACGCTCAAGCAGTGCGCCATGATGACGTTAGCTGCTGCTGCTGGGGGTTCGCATTCATCCAGCGGTGGATTGACGTGGGGGGCTTGACGGTGGTCCGTGGATGCGATACCGATCATCTTGCAAAGATTGCTGCTGAACTTAAGTTTCCATCAGGGCAACCACGGTGGAATACAGTGCAGTCTCAAGCTGGTATTCCCCCTCACTCTCTGGCCCTTTCTCCGCGTGCCACGAAGGAGGCCCATTGCGTGAAACGTCGAATCTGTTTTAAGGCCGTAATGTTATTGGCAGATGCGTCGAGTTTTTTCATCATACGGGGAGATCGCTATGCAATGCCATATATATGTACGCGTATTTTGTACGTGGTGGGTATGTACATCCCTTTGTACACAGTGTATAAAATAATAGTGTATTTTTCTTTTTAACATGCGTGGGCTGCATTACAACAGCGGGGGAACAACGCCGACTTTATACAAAGATAAAGATCCCCCGCGTAGCCTCTCGCCGACCTGTGGGACAAGTGCTGTTAGCGAGAGCCTACAAACGACAAGGTGGGTTGGCGTTGGCCGGCCTTCGTCTCCCTCCACCCCCCCCCCCGGTGCCGAAGGGCCGAGATGACCCCGAAGAGGCCCCCCCGGGAGCGGTCGGGTTGGGTTCGGACACCACTCGCCACTGATGTTAGCCGTGAGCGGAAACCCAACGAGACCCACCGCTCCCTCCCCCCCACACACACACCAACCCCACACGCATGTGCCGCACATACAGCACACACACGCATGTGCGCGCACAACACATGTGGCGCACATACAGTACACACACGCATGTGCGCACACAGCACTGTGCCGCACATACAGTACACACACGCATGTGCGCGCACAACACACGTGGCGCACATACAGTACACACACACGCATGTGCGCGCACAACATGTGGCGCACATACAGTACACACGCATGTGCGCACACAGCACTGTGCCGCACATACAGTACACACACGCATGTTAAGGATTCCCCGGTCACGGCTGACATCAGTGGCGCATGATGTACGCATCGGTCCCGCTCCTACCTAGGTCGGCTCGGCCTTAAATTAGTGCCCGGTGCGGTGTGTGGACAACATCGGTCCGGGGGGGGGGGGGAGACAAAGGCGGCCTGGCGTGGTCAGGTCCACAGAGCCCCCCACTCAGCGTCGTGCCGGGCTTTTAGTTTAATAGGCGCTCGCTAACAGCACTTGCCCCCAACAGAGCCGTGTAGGTTACACGGGGGGGGGAGGAAGATCGTTGTCTTTTCTGACTTTTACACGCGACTTTTACGATCAGGAGACACTCCTACAGAGATTCTCCCCCCCTCCCTTGCCCCTGTTTATCGCGATATACAAACAGAGATCGACAACCCAACATCGTTGCCTAAACACACACCAACATTACACATTGTTGTTATTGTTGCTAAATCGTACAATAAATGCAGGCCCCCAGGCCACCACGTTTTGTTCGTAGATGGGGGAATGATGGCCGATGGGTAAGAATAACGAATAGAGAGGGGTTAGGCAGAGGAGGGTTGTAACACGTACCTAGAGAGAACGACAACAGAGGCGATGGAGCGATGATTAAATTGGTTATTGTAACACGTGCTAGGTCGCAGCAGCAGCAGCATCGCGAGAGATGAAAGGCAGATTTTGCGGAGGTGTCCATCCAGCAGTGGATTGAGACCACGGTAACCGCTACCAGCTTGCTTTAAACACATTTACAACGTGGCAAAGCGAATCCACGTACCTGTCCCACCACCACCAAACCCCCCACTTGGTACACGGCGGTCCCCGATGCTGTAGGCCCGTGGTGGTGGTGATGGGGAGGGGGGTGGAGAAATCCGCGTTCCTCTCGCGTTGTCCGCTACTTCTATGCTCCACCACTTCACCCCGCACGGCCTTAGCTAGCGGGCACCGCGGGGTTCAGCAGCAGCAGCGGCAGCAGGGGCGGGGGCAGGAGGAGGAGGAAGGTCGACGTCTCCACCACGCTGCACCAACCCCCAAAGCGTCGTCGCCTCTTCAGCCACAGACGCCGACAGCGCCACCCCCTCGCCCCGACCCAAAGGCGCCGCCTTCTCCCGCGCGTCACCGCCGCACGGGAGGGCGACGGCGGTGGTGGTGGCCCCCTGGGAGGGATGGAGGGGAGAGAGAAGAGGGGTGGGGAAGGATGTGCCCGGGATTTTTTGTTTGGTGGAAGGAAGGGGGAGGGAGAGAGAGGCTTTGGATTGTTTGAGACGTGCGTCGATAACTAACTGGGGTGTTACCGCCGTACACAAAGCTTTTAGACGAAGGATCCCCCAACCACCCCTCCGGCGTATAGCGCTGTTAGCGAGTACGTTTAAAGGCCGGCACGGGCACACACGTGGCGGTGGGTGGAGAACAACCACGCCCGGCCGCCTTTGTCTCCCTAGTAGCACAGCGCGCTAACCACTACACCACCGTACACACAGCCTGGAGAGAACACACACACCCAATAATAACAATAAGCTGTCAAGCCGTACGGTTTGTCATGCCCCCGTATTTTTTATGCAGGGAAATTATGTAACGAAAAATGTTGCTCTCCAACACACCGGTGCGCTGAACTCGTGACGAATTGGCAATGTTCTGTTGACGCGACAAACCTTACTCATTGGCTGTGTCGGGTGGTGGCCGATTTAACGACACATTTATATATTTATGCGATCTGATCCAACAAAAAAAAACCCGTATTATGGATTTTTTTAAAGAAATTGTCTATTTCATTAGAACTCCTTTGCCAGTACCAAAATATAATAATATGGTTTTTCCCCTTTTTTCTGGCAACAAAACTGAAACCTTTTTACAAGGATTCATGTCTGCATTAACCACTACTTGCAGTAAAAATGCAAACAATAAACACACCATGATAATAAATGCATTGTCCTTGAAACTGATTGGTCCACACCAAGGGACGGCTTTCTTTTGAGCCTCGACCCAATTAGTGCTCGACCAGAGGACACCAAAAGGCGTACATCTATTTGTTTGTGTTTCTCCATTGTTATGAGATTTTTTACAATGAACGTTGAGATTGATAAGGGCACGGGGTGACCAATGAGGTGTGAATTGGTCTGTAATTAGGTAGGGGTATGCATACATTTACGATTATTTATAGGGGCATTGTTCTATTATTGCAGCTGCTATAAATGTTCACGTGATAAGCCACTTTGTTGATCTATCGTTTGCGGTCTGGTTGCTTCTGAAAAAATAAGTTAACACCTCTGTGGGATTTACTTGGTAAGATAAAAAAGCGTATTTATAGTTTTATGTGCTCCCCACCAACACTCACCACCTCATCAACCTCCAACAAAGACAAAGATCTCCCGTATAGCCTGAACAGACTGTTGGGGCAAGTGCTGTTAGCAAGCACCTATGAAGGCCAGCACAGCACACGAGGGGTGGGTGACCAGCGACACGCCCGGCCGCCTTTGTCTCCCCAGTGGCGATGTTTACACACCGCACCAGGTACTCATTTGAGGCTGAGTCGACTTAGGGGAGGCCCAGGACCGGTTCAGAGAATCGTCACTGGTGTTGGCCGTGAGCGGAAATCGAACTCGGGTCGCTAGGCTCATAGTGCAGCGCGCTAACCACTACACCACCGCTCCCCACAACAACCGCCATTCGCCACTAAGTGGCTGTGACGTCACCACGGCGCTTGTGCCAGGCTAGGTGCACGTTGAGGCCACGTGAAGTGTCGAACACCCGCTGGCAGGAGGTGACGGGGCAGACCCAGGTGCCACGGGTCGACTGACTGAGATGACTGACTAATCACCACCTGTGCCCCCTACTGTGCCAACCTGCTGTGCTTTAGCCACCCGGCGCGCCGCTCATTGTTGTGAGCGTCGCTCCTCCGCCCCCCGTTGTTGTTGGAGGGCGACTGCCCCCAACTGCCCAGTAGCAGCGTCCTTCACGAGCCTCCTCCACAGAGGCCGATCTTGACACCGCTGGTACCAGTCATCGGCAAGTCCACTCAGCTCCACGTCCTCCTGTACCACATCACTCCATCTCTTCTCTAGCCCGTGCCGCGCCCGTTTACCCCCCTCGATCCGTCCGAACAAAAGCTGTTTCAGCATGCGGTGGCTGGGCATGCGGGCTACATGACCCAGCCAACGCAGCCTTCCCCGCCGGAGGAGCTCACCGATGGGACTTTGTCCAGATCTTTCAAGGATTTGTGAGCTCCTCACACAATAAAGCCTGGTTAAACCCAAGATGGATCGTAGGCAGGCCAGCCTAAATGTTTCTAACCAACGAAGATGTTCCATTAGGGGGGTCCACTTTCAATAAGCGTAGAGAAGAGAGGGAACGACCGTGGCTGAGAAGACCTGAAGCTTAGTGCGGAGCGACAGACCAGGTAGCTTCCACACAGCGTTACGCAACCGATGAAAAGATATTGCTGCTCGATTGATTCGGAGTGAGACCTCTGCTGTCAAACTGCTCATGAGCACACTGCTCAGGTATGGGAAGCTCTCCACTCTCTCCACAACTGCCCCATCACCAATTGGGAGTTGTGGGGGTGAAGTGCCCGATGGTACAAAATACCCAGGCAGGTGCTTAGTTTTGGTGGGGTGATGGTAAGACCCCACCTCTTAGTGGCACGCTCCAGGTTCAGCAGCGCCTCCAGGCTCCAGCTCCTCCTCTGAGTGAGCAGCAATTACCAGATCATCGGCATACATAACGTGGTTGAGTAATAGGGAGCCATCCCTTGACCGCACCCGGGCACCAAACAGCCTTCCATCGTATCTGTACCCGATTGAAATTCCTCCGGTACAGCAATCGAAGGCTTCACGAACTACGTGGTCGAAATAGATGTTAAATAATGTGGGAGCCAGAGGACATCCCTGTCGCACCCCAAGGTGAACAGGGAATGGCTCCGACTCCCGGCCACGTAGTTTTTCCCAGGCCCACTCACCATCATGAAGGTCCTTAATGGTCGTGAGCAGAGAGTCAGAGACTCCAAAAACACGAAGAACAACCCAGAGCTCAGGCCGACTCATGGTATCATATGCCTTGACCAGGTCAATAAAGCATAGATGTAGGTCTTGTTGAAATTCCCTACACCTGGGGCTCCGCAAACCTCAGCGTGTCTGTCTAGGCGATGTTGAATAATCCTTGCCAGGACCTTTCCCAGCACACTGAGGAGTGAGATGCCCCTGTGTGGTCCCCTTTCTTAAAGAGGGGGACCACACCAGGGCATCCTTCCAATCCTGCAGAACCTGTCCAGTGGTCCAAACTGTTGATATGATGTCAAGTAGGGCAGTTTGTGCACAAACGCCACCATCCCTTAGCATTTCGCTTGGGAGATCATCTCTGCCTGGTGCCTTTCCTGGTCTCAGACTCTGGATCGCCTTCAGTACTTCCTCAACAGATGGCACCTCAGCCAGCCACTCACAGGGGGTGACTTCTTCCTCCAATACTTGAGGCACCGCAGCCTCAGCAGGGTCATTCCCACTTTGCCCCATAATGTTTTCCAGGCTGAGGGATTTCCCCTCCCCGAGGACCTCACAAAAATGCTCAGCAAATCTGCAAACCTGTTCCTGGGGGTCGGATATTGGATCACCGTTCTTACCCCTAATGATGGTAATAGGTGTGGCGCTGCAAGTTACTTTTTTAATGGAATTAAATAGAGATTTGTGATCACGGGCCACTGAGGCAGATTCCATCTCCTCAGCAACCCGCGACCACCACCCATCCTTGCAGCGCCTCATGGCTCTCTGAACCTCCGAGCGAAGGCTGAGGTAAGCCTCCTCATTCTCCGACGTGGGATGCTGTAGCCGATGACAGTAGGCCTGTCGCTTTTTCTCAGCCAGCCTGAACACCTCCTCTGTCAGCCAGGGTCTCTGGGGAGGTCTGAACCGTGTACCCAAAGCAACCATTGCAGCTGCATGAGTCACAGTCCTAAACCTCGCCCATTTACCCTCGACATCAGGAGGAGTGGGGAACGATGCCAACCCCAGCAGCAAGCAATGCTGAACTTCTCGCCTGCAACTTTTATCAGCCAGCTGAGACCAGGCCACGATGGGTTTAAATAGGGTGTACACCCACCACCGGAGTGGAAGAATGGCAGGCGCATCTTACAGATGACAAGTCAGTGGGCAGATCAGCTCCACGGAAGGTCCTGGTGTCAAGGACATGGACTCGCATCTGCTTTTCCGTCACGATGTAGTCCAGCAGATGTTCTTGCTTGGACCCGGCATCCATCCATGATGTGTGGATGCGCTGATGCCGGAACAGCGTGTTGGTAATTACAAGCCCACTCACATACTCCACACCACACACATCACGATCTTTATTTATCCTGGAAGAATCTGTTGAGCTGTGAAGCACGTTTTCACAGATGTCCAGTAGGGGCGGGTAAAAACGTTACAACAAACATATGAAGACGATTGCTTGTGTTGCGATCGAAACGTCGTGATATTGTTATTATTATTTTCTATCTACGTGGCTTTACGGAAAGACCCAAAGAATATAATAAAAAATACACGCATACTGCACACCACATACTCCCCACACCCACACTCCCCACACACACCACACACTCCCCACACACTCCCCACACACACCACATACTCCCCACACACACCACACATCACTCACTCCCCACAACACTCACTCCCCCACACACGCACGCACAAGCCACCAAGTGAGTGCGGCACGTGGGCCGACCCCAATCCGCGCCCCACCGCTCTCCACCACAGGCTCGGCCTCTCCACTGCTCTCGCCTGGCCCCTTGCCCCGCCCCCCCTCGCTGACTCCGCCCCGCCCACCACCACCCCCACCTCCACAAGCGTCACGTGACACTCGGCGATCGATTGCGCGCCCTGCAGCCTTCTTTGTTCGCCGGAACACGATGGCGGAGACAGACGTGAGTTCGGGCTCCCCTCACCTCGCCCTCTTCCTCGCCTTTCTCTTTCCCCTAAACGCCGCCGACGCTGCGCCCTGTCCGTCCGCACCCCCCTCCCATCCTCCCTTCCTCATCTCGGGCTGAACGAGCGAATCTCGTGTCGGGAGGATTTCTTTGTGGCGTGGAGAAGACGCAGCGCGGCCGACGCGGCGCCTCATCCTTTCCGTGTAGGCCTCGGCCACATGGGCTTGCGCAGGGGACGCTTTGGACTGTCGCAGCGGACTAAAACGGCGAGCAGTCGACGCGCTTAAATGTTTCTTCGAATGTTAATTCGTGCCCGCGGTTTAGGTCCGCGCGGGACGGTTGAGGCGCCTGGGTCTCGGAAGGGGCTGCTCGATGTGCGATCGGGTAGGCCCCGCCGCTTGAGCCTGGGCCCACGTGGGTGCCCCGTGGGACACCGGCACGGATATCGGCCTCGCGGCGGAGCCTCGAAGGCTTGCGTAGTAGAGACGCGGACTAACAATGAGAGCCGTGCATTCGTAATTGAGCTACGTCGACTTGCGCAGAGACCCGTATATTATTAACGCATCGGGCCCAGACCCACAGGCTCCATTAAGACACCCGACAGATTATCGGGGCGAGCGCGGTGTCTGAAATAGAGCCGGCGATTTTTTTTTAAGCCGGCAAGTGCCGTTGCGTGTACGGTGGTCTCTATCGCATATGCCGTGCGATTCACAGCCCGTTAGTCTCGTTTTAATTGATCCGCGCTTTGGGAGACGGAACGCAAACGTGTGTAACTCAAATGTACCGTACCCGGGTTTGTGATCCGCGTTGCCTGGCGCCAGTTTAACGTTTCACGAACGTCAAAAAATACTCTCTAAAGCTCATCCCTCGTGGCGGTCGGCCGGTTTCATTGCGTTTAATTTTTGTTAACGTGCGAGTGGCAAACGTGACTACCCGGGTGCGAAAATATCGCGCGTGTCACCAGTCCGCGATTTGACATAAAAAAAAATGTCACTCCCTAGGCCTAACTCGTGGTGTTTCCCCGGATGTAAAAATAAAACCTTTGATAATTTTACTCCACGAATAAATTGCAAAATTGTAGTTATTGCTAAACATTTGTAGAGCTTGAACAGCTGAAAAAATTTGAGAAAACCAAAACGCAAATAAGGTGATTTTAGTCTCGACGCGCTTCGGCTGAATGCAAGGACTTAAAAATGGGACTTTTGCCAGTATCAAAGTATTACAAAATAAGAATAGTTTTTTTTACCCTTTATGACAATAAAACAGGAGGTGTTAAGATGTTTAAGCACCAAATAGAAACCTTTTGTAAGGAATCAAGTACTGCATTAACCACACACATGCAAACAATAATGATATACAGCTCTTGATTTAAAGCTTTCGTGACTGCAGTAATTCATATTCTTAGTTTTTTCGGTAAAGTCACGTTGAAGAGAAACAACGTGACTTTACCGAAAAAACTAAGAATATGATATACAGCTCCTTTGCATGCTTTCCCACGCCGTGTGGATCACGGTGGTTGTCTTGGCCATACTTCGCCACGCTGGTCAGTGCGGGTTTGAAATGCCTCGAGGGACGCGGCGCTTGCTTTGATAACGCCCCACCGATGTTTTTGCATAGTCCGGGAATTTAATTCGGATGGCTGTGTTTTAAAAGTGGAGTGTGAGCTAACAACTTAAACACGCGCGCTCCCCCTTCCCCCCCTGTTGGTCATAATCAAGTTTCATTCATTTAACCAGGAAGTCGTATTGCCTATAACACGTGGTCATTGCGAGTCTGTTCTAAATACTAAGCAGGCTGAAGCTTAAAAAGTAAAAAAACAGTTCGGGTTGATTCGTTTTTTTAAACTTGAGCTCATGTGATAATACAGCACCCAACTTAATAATATACCGATCTTTGTGAGTCGAATACTTAGTACAGCTTTAAAAATAATTAATTAATCCGCTTCATGCGTTTTAACAAATAGCCAACAGGAAACGTACGACACAGATTTCAAATTCTTACCATGTTCCATACGTGCTCGTACATGTACAATCCACTGCCGGTCATGGGAGAGGCATACATTTAAGTAAAATGTTGTTCACAACCATATAAAAGTCATGTTATAAAGCTAAAGTAACGTGTATATTTTACTGTCTCTGCAACAGGAGGTTCTTGACCTTAAAGTCAATTGGTCTAAAGGCAATATTGAGGTATATTAAAAATCCCAGTTAAAACATTTAATTCACCCGTTTCATAACGTGTTATATGGTAGAATGTTTTACTACAATTGAAAACCTGTCCACACTTCCTCATGGAGCTTTCAAAAGTCATGTGGCACTAAAAATAAATTGGCTGCATTGTTTAACGACGCACGACACGGAGCGGTGAGGTAGGGGGGGGCACATCGCTATTGTTCCGCCATCTGGATTTGGCCAGACACATGGAAATTATTTCGAATTTGGCAAGTCGAAGTATCCGGGTGTGGGTGGGGCATGTTAAGTAGCGACGGGGGTCCCATAAGGAATATTGGTTGCTTACCCCCTCACCCCTGTCCACAAATTGGAGGGGTGGAGATATCCCCTCGAATGTGTTTCTGCACTCATAGTTTTTTGAGGATTACTACTGCTGGAGGCCCAGTTGGCGATTGTGTTTGGGTCTTAGCCAATGAGGGGAGTGGGTGTCCCTTGTCGCCCCAACAACAATACCACATCCCCTTTCATAACACCACCTCCCATCTCGGCACTATTCCTTTCAACGGCTACACCACTCTACAACACTACTGCCACCTCTCAATCTCATCATCACTGCCACTCCTTAAACACTGCTACCTCTCTATCACTACCGTTCCCAACACCACTGCCACTCTTTTCAACATCACCCTCCGTAATCCCCGCACATGGCACCGCCCCTTCCGCCACCTCCACGGTGGTGCCACGGTCTGAACCTCTTGTCTGTGGCACAGGTGACGATGTCCCAGGAAACCCCGACCGTCAACGGGAGTGTGGAGGGCACCGCTCCGAACGCCGACGAAATGACGTCCAAGGACTACTACTTCGACTCCTACGCCCACTTCGGCATCCACGAGGTTTGTCAACGGCACCGATCCGGCCCTGGCGTTCCTTGTTGCCTCGTAGCAACGCGAAACTTGCAAGACAAATTGCCCCTTGTCAATACAGTGCTGGATGAGGGACCCCCTCCACACCGTGTGGGTCCTGGGTGGCATTTGACCAGACTTCACCATGCTGGTCAGTGTAGGTTGGTGGAAGAGCAAAGCATGGAAGCAAAGTAAAACAATGGATTGTGCTTGCACTGCCCTCTGCTGCCCACGATATAGCACACCCCTGACCCTCATGCACAGGCTGCTGCGGGGCTGTGCTACATTACCAATACGATAATAAATTAACATCACCTTCATAATACTGATTAATATTGCCTTTATAACTGCAATGTATGCGTTTCTTGCTCATTTTTGTATTAAGATTGAAAGCAAATTATGAGATTGTTTATATATTTCATGTTCGGAATGTGCTAGGATGATCATGTGGTGTCTCCAGATGCTTGTTAAAATGTATTTACATTGGTTGCTCACAAGGTTTGGAATCAAATACAGCATTTGGTAATATACAATATTTGGTAAGAACAAAACAGCTGATATGGAGTTGGACAGGACATCTTTGAGCATCGTATAGTTTCAAGTTTTCAAGTTTCATTTATTAGGTATAGCCCTGTGAGCATGCGGCTCTTGAGTCGGGTGCAACCGCAACAAACAAAATATGAACAGAGAACATCTTAAAGCGATGACGCGCAACAGAAACATCCGGGGATAAACCAGCAAATCTTCCAGAAAAAAACCCACCGTATTACAACGCTGTGTGCAAAAATCCCACTGTGATGCAAGACAAACAATAACCATAAGACAATTTAGATTCAAGTTATCAAGCCAACTCCGCACTTCCGCAAGAAACTTGGCTTAACCATATGTTTTAGAAATCACCAAAATAAAGCTATAAAATACAATGTAACAACAGTAATCATAGGAACTTTGATTAAAATTTAACGATAAACGATATACATAAAATGTACGAACAAACTTGCATCCATATCTGTCAGCATGACACTCCCCGTGTATGATGTGTGAGTCAATGGTAGTGAGTGTATGATGTGTGAGTCAGTGGTAGTGTGAGTGAGTGTATGATGTGTGAGTGAGTCAGCGTATGATGAGTGAGTCAGTGTATGATGTGTGAGTGAGTAAGTGTATGATGTGTGAGTGAATCAGTGTAAGATGAGTGAGTGTCACGGCATCCTCCCCGCCATCGCGGCCTCCCCGCCATCGCGCCCTCCTCCACGCCATCACGGCCTCCTCCCCGCCATCACGGCCTCCTCCCCGCTATTGTGGCCTCCCCATCATCGCGGCCTCCTCCACGCCATCATGGCCTCCTCCCCGCCATCGTGGCCTCCTCTTCTTTCTTTCTAGTCTAGCACCGGCAACACTAAAGGAAACACTTCCTAAAGCGAGCTTCAGCACCTCTGTAGGTGGCCAGGGCCTCATCCAGCCTCTTGAGGCCACACAGAGCGTTGCCCTCGTAGTGCAGCGTGGCCGCCCCGCTCTCGGCCGGGAAAAGCTTCTGCAGCAGGGCGCTGAGCAGCACTTTCATCTGCCACACCGCCAGGTGCCGCAGCAGAGCTGACAATGTGTTTTCAGGAGGGTGTCCTAGTGGAGGGAAGGAGCAAAGTCTCCGTAAATAAGATGACGTGTCGAGCTTAGGAGATTTGACCGAGCACACTGGGTGGAGGGGGGCAAGAGATTGTGAAGAGTGGAAGACATTGCAGGAGATCTTTTCCCAACAGTGGGATGGTAACCACAAAGAAAGATCTGTTCAGTTTTGGTTCACTTTTCACCAAGCCCCGGTAATCCTGTGACGCAGTGATTGTAGACTGTTTTAGGTGGAGCAGAGGGTGAGGAGTCTGTCACCAGTTATGATGATATTGCATTGAGAATGAGGGTCATTAACGGGTTCTTGAGACTTCGCTCATGTCTTATTCCACAACATTGCCGACTCGTGCTGCCAATAACGGGGTCCAAAGTCCGCACTAAGTGTGTCACATCACTGCTCCTTGTGAAACCACCCACAATGCTACTGCCCGGCTACACTGTGAACATAATTAATGAGTAAAAATCTAATTGGCCGGCGGCAAAGCAATGCTTGAGGGTTTGAGTGTCCTCCAGTTTGTGAGTAGGCTTGGAATGGGTCAGCCGAGGACTATAAGAACTATTGCTATCGACCGCACGGGTATCAACGCATACTTTTAACGAAATCGCTTGTGCCAACAGCTGGCGTCATGGATACCACACCCGGGACATTATTGTGGGATCTTGCTCGGCACGTAGTTCATCGATGAAAATTTATTTTTATGCTCGCGTCATGTGTTTCAAATCGTGTGTAAAAGAATGATTCACAATCTTCGCAAATTACTTGTAAATAATTTTCCACTTACAGGGTCATATTGATAACAAAATTACATAATTTGACTCAAAGATTGAGTTAATTTACATCAATACAATAGCTGCTTTAGGCGATATTTTCTAAAATAATCAACTTGAGCTACATTGTTAATGTGGGTAAAGCCACGTGTTGAAGTTTCTATAACAAAAATGAACACTGGAGATTTGTTGTTGGTTAAATGCTTCGTTGCTGATAAGGTCGTGGCGGCGTTGTTTTTGACATTCCAGGAGATGCTGAAGGATGAGGTGCGGACGAGGACTTACCGTAACGCCATGTACCACAACCGCCACCTCTTCAAGGACAAGGTGGTTCTGGACGTAGGCAGCGGCACGGGCATCCTCTGCATGTTCGCCGCAAAGGCTGGGGCCAAGAAAGTCTTTGGGGTAAGAACCCACTTCCACACCCTGCTGGATTAACAATACTAACAAAGGTGTCATTTAAACAGGAAAGCTTCACTGACAATGTGTGTTTTCAGGAGGGTGTCCTGTGTTGGGATGTTTGGCCACTTCTCGTCAGGAGTGCTTTGCACGTGCGAGAGAAAATCACTCGTCGGCGATGATGATCAAAGATCCAACTGCTAGCTACTTAGGAGCTTTCTGGCTTTGGCACTTTGACAAAGCTGAATGTGTGTGATCTACCAACCCTTTAAAGTGGTAGATTACGGGTTGCATTGTTCAGAAATTAAAGTGATTGCCGGTTGTCTGCTCGCTAATCACAGCCCAGGATTAACGGTGTTTTCATTTTTCTTCTGTACAGATCGAGTGCTCCAACATTGCAGACTATTCACAGCAGATCATCAAAGCCAACAACTTGGATTCAGGTTAGTTTTCCACGTCCATTCATTGTAGTAGGGCCTTTGCCCACTGTCTATGTTATTGACAGCCTTCTGCTAGGTTTGTACAAGAGATGTAACAATGTAAATAATTGACAGCTCTTCATCATTCCACTGCTGGATGAAGGCCACCCCCACAATGTGTCGTTGATGGAGGTTGTTTGACAATACTTCACTGCGCTGGTCAGTGCGGGTTGGCGAAGAGGGAGGATCTAGGTTGGGTTGGATATCACTCACCACTGGTGTTAGCGATGGCTGGTAATCAAACTCAGGTTACTGGGTTCGTAATCAAACTCAGGTTACTGAGTTCGTAATCAAACTCAGGTTACTGGGTTCGTAGCCCAACACGCTCCATCGGTTCCACTCCCTATATTACCCGTAAAATGTAAGGATTTGCCTTTTCCATAGGTATGTAGGTACTGAGCCACTGATGAGATCCGCATGTTTATTACACACTTGACTCACGGCCACTGTTTGAGATGAATTTGCCCTTTTTTTGTGGTGTCTAAAGATGCGGTGGCATTTAGATGCCACACAAATCCAAATAGTATTACAACTGTACTTATTTTTGGTTCTTTCGGTAAAGTCACGTAGAAGGGAAATAATCAAATATATATAAAACAATAAAATTCTCACGACGTTTCAACTGCAACACAAGCAATCATCAGGTGTGAAAACCACAGCAAGAAAATTAGAAAAAAGTGGCGGTTTTTAAAAATTTTCTTGCTGTGGTTTTCACACCTGATGAAGATTGCTTGTGTTGCAGTCGAAACGTCGTGATAATTTAATTGTTTTATATTTTAATTATGTTTCCTTTCTACGTGACTTTACCGAAAGAACCAAGAATATGAATCCCTGCAGTCACGAAAGCATTAAATCACAACTTGTGTAGGGTGGCTGACGGCGGTGTGATGGCACCATGTTGTACGTATGTTGAACTTGTTTCGCGACGTACGGAGCAAACCGTGCACATCCGGAGGTGCCAACGCATGTTTTCGTTGTGTCCTCAGTGATAACGATTGTGAAGGGCAAGGTGGAGGAGGTGGAGCTGCTGGTTGACAAGGTGGACATCATCATCAGCGAGTGGATGGGATACTGCCTGCTCTACGAATCCATGCTCAACACCGTCATCTGTGCCCGCGACAAGTGGCTGGTAAGGCATCGTTAAATGTCATCGTCAGCCATTGTCCGCTCGCTGCTATGAAATCTCGTTTACCATACACCATGCTCACAACGTTACACCGTACAAGGAAACACTCGCGTATGTACCATATTCGTTCTATTGACACCATTCCAACAATGTACACGCACACAATGTTACACTGCCACCACAAACAAAATACACATCACACCAGCATCGCCATTGTCTCCATTGCTGGACGAAGGCCTCACCTTGCCATCGCCATACCTCATCGTCTCTGTGGTGGGTCATCCTCTTGGGTGCACCCTCTTCATTTTTGGTTGCCATTTCATCACAAGTCTTAATCCACCAGCGATTGTCCCATTCTAGCGATGTTTCCTGCCCCATGTACACTTTTCTATCTTAATTGCTTGGGTGATTTATTTTCATATCACAACCACTGGAACGGTTGGCGATGCCGCGGTGTGGAGTTGTCGGTGTGTGTGTGCCTTACAAAACGCAACTCGTCTGGTTCTGTAGAAACCGGGCGGCGCCATCTTCCCCGACCGCGCCTCCCTCTTCCTCACCGCCATCGAGGACCGCCAGTACAAAGAGAACAAAATCAACTGTGAGACCCGCGGCCTCCACAGCGCAAACGCCACGTCCACCACTCTCGCAACCGCAACTATTTTGACTGAACATTCATAAAAACAAAAATATACCCCTTGGGTGGGGGGAGCGGGTTCCTTTTTGCAACATTTTGGCATCTTATTTTTGATGTAATTTTACACGGCCAGTGTCATGTCCGTGAATATATACCCAGCCACCTGAATAATGTCTCCACCTACCTCGGAATGATTTTATTCTTCATTCCCACTAGGAACCAATATTTAGGAATAATATTTCTCCATATGAATGATTGTTCTGCCATATTTAGTTGTGTTACAAAGTTATCTTTGGCCATACTTTTTCAACTAAAATCTTAATTTTATGCCCAATTTCCAAACTTGCGTGAAACGGTTATTCAGTTTGCTTGCAATATAATTTTACTTTGTACCATTTGTTGGTCCTGATGTTCAGACCTAACAACACATAGGAGTACAAATAAGCGGGGGGGGGCAGGTGGACAAACGTTCACTGGTAAGAACCTGGGGAAGAATGCAATTTGGAAAAGCAATGTTCATTTACACCGGCTTATTCAAATCATGCTGCATGGGGGTAATCGAATCCAACCGCACGGTGGCACGAGTCGACCGGGCAACGGGACCGTGTGCGACCTGCCGTCACCGCACGGTGAAGGAACTCGGGCGGACGCGCTGACCTCGGCGGCGTGTCGCTTTCTACCCCCCCCCCCGCTCCGCGTGTGCGCTCAGGGTGGGAGGACGTGTACGGCTTCGACATGTCCTGCATCCGCGACGTGGCCATCCAGGAGCCGCTGGTGGACGTGGTGGAGCCCAAGCAGGTGGTCACCAACTCCTGCCTCGTCAAGGTGGGGCCCCGTGTAGCTCGCGCCGCCGGTTCTCAGGCCCCCCCCCCTCCCACGCTGCTCGCTTCTCTTAAGTGGATGCGTTGACAATTACTGCCACTGCGTAGGTGTTTCACGGTTACTCTGTACGGCTCTCCGATTTGGTTCTGGGTTGTGCCTTGTGTTCTTTGTCATTTCCTTGAAGCTCCCCCGGCATGTGGAGTGAAACGTTTGGCCGTTATGCCGAACAACCCCACGGTTCGCAGAGCTGTCATTTAAATTGCTGTGTGGATTCATAGCAAGTGAATGCAACCGCTGTATAAAATGGAATTTGTTTCATGAATATAATTATTTTAACTGAATTGTACACTATACTAGGGGTGTGACTATTCGCCCTAGTTTATTAAATCACGAGGTGGTTTAATACGGCAGCCTTTAATGGCTGGGATGGGTAATATGAACCTTTGGCATAGGGTATGTAGGTGAATCGAAAAGCCGTTTTTTACATCTGTGATTTGATATGTATTGCTCACTAAGTTATAGCTCATTAATGGATGCATCTCTACACCCAATCCTGTAATGTAAGGTTTTAGCTGTAATGCTGTTCCTTATTCTGACTGTGATATTTTTAGGTCTTTTGGTAAAGTCACGTAGATGGGTTCAAAGAAAAGAACAAAAAACTACGATGTTTCGATCGCAACACAAGCGGTCATCAGGAAAAGTGGATGAAAGACTGAGATTTTCTCGATGGCGACCGCTTGTGTTGCGATCTAAACATCGTAGTTTTTGTTATTTTCTTAGAACCTATCTACGTGACTTTACCGAAAGACCCAAGAATATGAATCCTACAGTCACGAAAGCTTTAAGTCAAGATTTGACCACGTGATGTTTATTTATCGATATTTTTTCAGAAATATATTTTGATCGGTGAGACTCTAAATGGAATCAATCTCAGTCTTTCACCCACTGTAAATGTAGTTATTTTCCCATCGCTGTCGATCGTTATGAAAGAAGCTCGCGTGATCGTGGCAGCTGGGAAACGTAGCGGCGCGCATCGTCCGAGCCGCCTGGTAGCAAGAGAGAAAGGTCACGACGAGATGAAAACGCCGGCCGACCCAACCTGACCCCGCTGTCCGTCGTCTCCCACAGGAGGTGGACATCTACACGGTGAAGGTGGACGACCTGACCTTCACGTCGCCCTTCTGCCTGCAAGTGCGGCGCGCCGACTACGTGCACGCGCTGGTGGCGTACTTCACCGTCGAGTTCACGCGCTGCCACAAGCGCACCGGCTTCTCCACAGGTGAGCGCCCGACAGGGCTCGCGCTCCGCTCGGTGCCCAGGAGCCGCCGCCGCCGCTGCAGTGCCGGCGGTGCAAGTGCTGACGGTCCGAGAGGGTGTTTTTTTTTTTTTGGGTGGTCCCGCCCAGTTTTTCCACGGCAGAGGACAACGATTGCTTCGTGTATTCCAATGGAGTAGCAGTCATCCGGATGATTTATTTTTATTTGGACCGTGACCCCGGGCACGACGGGATCTACTCTTGCGATTGATGTCACGTGATCTTGCACTTGCGCATTGGAACAGGCGGATGGTATTTTTTGGCCAGTACGCCAGCAGTAATAACCAGGGTGGCTGCCCCGATACGAACCATGCACCTACGACAGCTGGGCCGTGTCACCACCCCATACAGTTGATTGTATCGCCCATGGTGCCCGACTCAAATCGTGTGTCTAATGAATTTTGTTTGCCTTTCATGCAAATTGTATGCTCATGCTGATGGTGCAAACAGCTGAACAAACGGTAGCGGTTCAAGAATCACTGGTATTTTTTGGCCCGTTTGAACAACTCGTTTGTATTTCTCATTTACTACCTTGAAAACTCGAGTATTGATGCTGGGAAACAGTTTTATAGCACATCGTCACTCGGGTGGATAAAGTACATTACTTGTTTTTAATATTTTTCCCAGAAGAAGTGTAACAATGCATCAATCAATTATCATTTGTTCAGCTTTTGATATTGCATCAAATGGTATTTGTACATGATTTTTTATTTTTTTCATTGTATGTAAAAGGTTCATGCACCCTTCAGCCCGTAGAGGCCACTACATTGACCGCAGTTTTATATTTTAAAAAAGATGGAATTGATTTGTGACCCTGAATCGTGGCAATTCATCATATCGCCGGCAGGTCCATTCCGGAAGGGGTGGCGAATCTCAGCGTGCAGTGTCTGATGGTTGTTCTTGAACGAATTTGAGTAACTGCCATGGCTTAAAGGATTAAAACCTGATTATGGTGCTGTGTGTGTTCCTATTTGTGTTGCGGCTGGAGTGCGTTGTGACATGCCCGTTTGCCCCTGCTAGCGCCCGACGCCCCGTACACCCACTGGAAGCAAACGGTGTTCTACCTGAAGGAGGACTGCCTGACGGTGAAGCCCGGGGAAGAGATCTATGGCACCATCTCCCTGCGCCCCAATGCCAAGAACAACGTGAGTCGTCGCATCTTCCCCCTCCCATCACGCACACCTATACCACCCACACGGGCAGTGTTAATCACCTCGGTGTGATATTAACGGTGGAAATGTTCGTTGGCGGAAAGATTTTAAAAGTCGATTCCAACGATGGTTATGGGTGGAGGAAAGTCCATCGAGCACGCCGATGGTTACGATCATTTCAGTCGGAACGATCCCGAACACTCTTCTGGCAGGAATTGGCACGCCACATCCATCTGTTCTCGTAATGCTACAGTCAGTGCTGTGGAGGTATATCGGGAACAACGGCGGTATAGGATTGTTATGGATAGGTGCATCTTGTATTCTTGTGCCTTGGTGCTGATAATCCCTACTCTCAAGTTAGCCCAGCAGCGTTTCAGAAAATATTGCATGAAATAAACGCTGTTACCCACCACCAGCACACGCATGACTGACTATAGCGACACTAAATTAAGACAAACAAGTCGAAATGAAGAGGTAGAACAGCATCCTTTAAGTAACCTTATCTAGAGACTGCAATGCACTGAGGAAAGACCACGCATTATAATTTTCTATATATGCGTTAATACAAATTGAGTTAACTGGTTGGCTGACCTAATATTGGGGAGGGGGGTTGCGTACCACTTGCCCACATTTAACAACTAAGAGTGGGCTATATTTCGAATTGAAGATTAGATTAGAAAGTGTTGTTGCCAGGCTGAAATACCCCCTCTATTGTACCCGAATAGTTGCTTCTAAGATTATTTTAGTAATGGGTGAGTATTGTTTGTGGACTATTTTGAAGTGATGGGCCTCCAGGGTTTCCTGTCGCTGCTCCGCGAGCTAATTTGTATGGTGTACTTCGCCCCTGCTGCCGTTTCTGCTTTCAGCGAGACCTGGACTTCACCATCGACGTGGAGTTCAAGGGTCAGCTGTGCGAGGTGTCATCGTCCCAGGAGTACCGCATGCGCTGAGGAGTGGGGGGGGGGTGGTGTGTGGGGGGGGGGCGGGAGGGTTAGACGCACGCAAAACAAAAAGTGAAACGGGAAAATAAACTTAAAAATAAAGAAAAATACCTCCGTACCATCGCCAAAATTTACCTTCAGTCCCGCTTTCATGCGGCAGGAGGGAAAAGCAACAGTTTTGAAATGTGTTGTGTCGTTGAATGCTACGATTTTCAACCAATCCGAGGAGGCAGCAGCAGATGGATTGGCAGGCACACCGCTGGGGGCGTGTGCGTGGGTGTGGCGCGTTCTTCGGCGATGCGTTTTGAGTACCTTCAGTGAAAGCATTGATACCTTTACATTTTTGTTTTCAGTCGGCCGATTGTCCCTGGTTAATCGTGGCACAGGAGAGCCACCTTATTCCTGTCTTCAGTATTTTCGGTACTCGACCAGTACGTCCACCGCCCCCCCCCCCCTCCCCAACCTATTTTGGAATGCATTTCTGACGGGCGAGCGTGTTCAGCGCTCGGGAGTGCATACGGACGGCCATTGAAGCACCGTGTGTGTGTACAATGTAGTGTATTGTGGTGTCTGTATTTTAATGTTTTGTTCTGCATTGATAAACTATGGAATTTCCGTCGTTGTATCAGAATACTCATCGTTTTAGTTTTTTATATATAAAAAAACAGCTTCCGTTTGAATTGGTGCGCAGGTTTTTTGTTTTTTTGTCGTTCCCATTCATTACGCGGAGTTTAATTATTTTGTACAGTTCAACGTTTAATATGGTGGTGGGGAGGGGGGGGGGGGAGCCTTTTAAAGGTGGCAGAAATGTTTGAGCTCGTGGAGGAGAAACAGCTGTTGCTGTCGCTTCTCCCCGTATTGCGTTTAACCCCTTTTTCCACTGCACCAATCGAGCCGTGCCCAGCCAGTCCGGCGTGGGTCGAGAGCATCGCCAGTTTCCCCCCGCCCCCGCTGCAGAACCAGAACTGTGGCCCGCTGACGCTGCACGCAGTAAACTTCGGTTGCGTCAGTCTTGTACCGAACGACACAACCTGTGATGCAACTTCGCGCTGGGCCACATTGCGGCGTCTTGCGAGGCCGTAGTTTGGCGGTTTGGTTAGAGCTCGGCGTGGCAAATAGCCGGCGGTAAAATTGCCCGTGAGGTGATGGCATCGCCGCGCTGGCACGGCTTGAATGTGTCGGTGGAAAAGGGCTGGTAATGGAGACTGGATGCGCTGGGCGCTGTTCCGTATCGCGTGCTTCGGTATCGCGCTGAGAGTGCGGCGAGCCTGCGATTCACTACAGCTCGACGACTTGCACTGCAGTATTTCTCCTCTGCGGGGGGTTAAGGCTACGTGGGACGTACTTGCACGCGCGTGTCCTCCCTTGACTGCCCCGGGACTTTGTGCGATGAAGGCACGGCCATTGAGAGCGCCCTGCCGCGGTGGCCCCGTTGCGATTGTCCCCTCGGAATCCGTTTGGGATAGCACGCGGCTCTACGCTTGACTGTTCGATTTTCTGTCGAGTTGGCTTTAGTTTTTTTTTATATATACAACACAGGCTCTAAACCTGCCTTGTGTACGATTAAGCAAGGCAATCCCCCGGTGGCACATTCATTCCACGTGGTTTCCCGTAAAGGGCTTTCCAGTTGACACTCTGGGCTCTTGTCACCAGGCCCTGTCCATTACGAGGGGAGCACTGTGGACTTTTGTGCATGGCCGGTTCAGTGACCAGACGGTTCAACTTGCCATGGTTATGTTTTGTTGTGGGTGAAATGGCCTGCTAGTTTAGCCTCGCTGGGGAAGGCGGTGGTGGGGGGAGGGGGGTAATAAACGTCATTTTTAATCCTTCCAAAAGCATGCTGTGCAAAAATATCTAAAGAGAATGTGAAGGTAGGTTAAAGTTGGTGCGATGGAAGGTCTCGTGTGTGATTGTCGTAAGCCAAGGCAGCCCTCTGGTCCGAGTTGCACAGCCTTTGGTTTGATGACCCTGTGGTCGCTCCATCTCGGCTGCCCCGTCCGTACAGCAGCTGGAACCGGTGCGGTCCCGAATGAGTAAACCTCTGCGCTTTAGCCCGACGCAGGTGCCGTTTTAACCCATTTATGGATGACTTTGTGATATTGTTTTTGTACAAGGATCCCAATTGCCGAGGTTGAAAAGCAAGCACATTTTTTAATATCCCCTGCGGCTCTCATGTGTTGGGTTTTCCCGCGCATTGATCGACATCAGGTTCCTCAACGGTTTGCTCTGCGTGCTTGGAGCTTCATAGTTGAAGCGACGAAAAATCGGACATGGTGCCAACCAAACGCAATTACAACCCGTACAACACATCGGATAGCACACCCGTGAAAACCTGTCGTTTAAGACTCTACCTGGAAATATTTGTGCACTCTCGTATACGGGATGCACTAACTCCAAGCGTGGATTCATGAAAACCTTTAATAAACATTACATTGAAAAAGTACTAACATTTCTGTTGTGAATGGAAATCCATACGTTTCTTAACTATTTCGAACGTTCTAAGATTGTAAGGTCCCAAAGTATGTTTATTAGAGTAAAAAATCTGCACGCAGCCCAACATTGCATTTTATCGATGAACGTCCATTTGTGGGTCCATCCTGTGCGCGTCGGCCGGTGTCTGTGAAGGCGGCGGTGGTGTAGTCCACGCCGCAGGCGATGCCTCGCCGACGAGACGATTCTCTCCACCACCGTGTGCGTTTCTCCACTTTCAGGAAAACTTTCTCGAGCTCGGTTTTCTCCGCAGCGCGACGAGTCTGCTCCATCGATGCCGTTATACCTCCCCAATGATGTGTTTGTTCGTCAACGGCGGTGACGCTTGAGCCAAGTGGCCTTTTCCTGTTGCCTGGTCCGAGTTTGTACGGTTGCCATGTGTTGTTGTTTAACTGCAACGCGCTAAGCAGGAAAATCAAGCGATGGTCGCGCCACCACTCATGCGATCTTAATCCGGTGGTTGTTGGTGTTTTGATACGTTCGGTCGGTGTGTTCCATTGGATAAATGGCTTTGGTTAAGTGACAATTGCAATATGGCTTTCATCAATGTTGGTATAAGGTTCGACAGGCTACGACCAATGGAAAGTGTTCAAAAGGGTTGCTGGAGGCGACAGTGTCCTTCGTGTGTATTAGTTTGAACATAAAAAAGCTAACTCCAATCGGTGAAAATACACCAAAATAAAGTGTTGAATGGTAAAACATTTAATGAAAGGGGCAGCGTTTTCAAAACTTAAGGTTGAGGTAAAGCAATGCGTGAGCTAATGGTTCCGTGAAGTGGATCGACCTTCCAAATAATTTTAAACAGTTTTGGGAAAAAGATGTTATTTTAAAAGCTCCCTCCTGAAACGGCTGCCGTCCAATTTACCTGAAGGTTGCTGTGGCAACTGTGAACCACGGGAGAGAACGCCCCTTACAATTTGACCATTAAATGGTAATATTTTAAAACATGAAATGCTTAAACAATTGTGTCCCCCTATATATGGGTACAACTTGCATAAATGGGTTAAAAGTGCTGCCACGTGTGTGGCCGGAAACAGTTTTTAAAGTTGCGTCACCTTTCCCTGAAACTGCGTTGCATTTTGTGCGGTAGTGTTTTTTGTATTTTTTTCCTCCCTACCCGTCCCGTAGCTTTGTTTCTATTTAACTGCAGCTGCGATAAGTCTACAAAGTCCGCCACGTGCCGTGCAGTGGACTTGCCCTGTGTCCACGTTCCCCATTCATTCGTGTGTTCAGCTGCTGTTTTTAAAGTTTATTTTTTATTGTACTTATTGTGAGGGTGCAACTAGTCTGGACAATAAAGCTGAGAGCCTCCGTTGCAAATGAGATTGTATGCCTTCCTCCCACACACAGCTCCTCTCACTATAAATTTATATATATTAAAAACACGATTGCACAGCAAAGGTCCAAAATGGCAAGCAGGCACGTAAACTGCACTCCTGATATTGCAATCGATTAAAGTTTGTACGTTTCTTCAATTGGAGGAACGTTTTCAGAACCTGGAAAGAGGCAATGGGTTGAGGGAGGGTATTCCAAAGTTGGGAAGGGCGCAAAGACACGCAGAAATGAGTTTACCTGCGGAGTGGTGCTTGAACGTGGTGCTTGAACGTGGTGCGTATGAGCCGAGTCCTCAACACGGGAACAGTCACCATCGTAGCAAGAGGAGAGTGATATGCAGGTGACCGACCACTGAAGAGGTGGCTTGGAGTGAATTCGTGCTGGGTTCGATCACGTAAGTATAAATGTGTCGTTAAACCCGCCACCACCCGACTCAGCCAATTAGTAAGGTGTCACGTGAACAAAACGTGAATTCGTTCCTAGTTCGGCACACCGGTGTGGAGGAGAGAACCCACTAGAATCGTAAATGTTGTGAGTTTACTCTCCAACACACCGGTGTGCTGAATTAAAGGATTGGTATGTTTTGTTAATGTGACCAATCTTACTAATTGACTTGAGTAGTGGCGGGTTTAACAAAACGTTTATATTTACGCGATCTAACCCAAACCTCGTGGATAATATTGGTCGCGAAAGCCTACGTGTTAAACTGGTAAGTGCTGGATCATCAATCAACATTCCTAAATAAAACTTATTAATTAGCTTGGTTTATGAATTGTATATTTTTCCCATATACCAATTGTGCCCTCTGTTAGCGTGGCGTGGCCACATGGAACTCTGCGAGGAGCGCGTCACCCCGCCATGGATCTGCGATTGGCCACATGACGGGAGACGTCACAACTCCTTGGAGACATTTTACATTGAGACACGAGGGGGTGCGATTTCCCACATGCCCGGCTGCAAAAGACATTTGTCATCCATAATATGTCACTCCAACACACCGGTGTGCTGAACTAGTAACGAATTGGTACGTTTTGTTTACGTGACAAACCTTACTAATTGGCCGTGCCGGGTGGTGGCGGGTTTAACAAACATTTTCGCGATCTAGCTAAAAAAAACCTCATGGATATCGGTCGCGAAAGCCGACGTGTTAAACAAGACATTTGTCATTGTGAATCGTTCTTTTTGCAATACGAGAGCTGGAATTGGGTCAAATCATCTTTCAATATAATTAACTTGTTTTTTGGTGTATTCATAACAATACCTGAGCATCGACTCAATACACATGATGGCCTGGCTTAAATGACGAGCTATTCAGACTGGACTTGAACCCAGGTGAACAAGTGCTGGCTAGGTGCTTTGACCCCTGAGGCACCAGTCAGTACAATAACAAAATATTGATACTGGAAGAATCCGATGAGCTATAAAGCTTTCATCTTCTTTGGTTCTTTCGGGAAGTCACGTAGAATGAGAATATAATAAAATAAAATAACACTAAAATTATCACGACGTTTTGGCCACAACACAAGTGGCCTTCTTCAGGTGAAAGGAACAAACCTGTCGGGACGACAGAGCTTCAATGAACGCTGTTAAGATTCGCAGCGTCTTTTAAGCTGGTTGAGAGAAGTGAGGCACCTTGACAAAGGGGTTTACATATCAAACAGGAGAATTTAGTATTGAAATAGCTGTGGGATTAGCTTGTGACTGGTCACGGAAATGGCTATGTTAAAGTCAAACCCTACACATCCACAGAGGCACCTAGTACAAATCAAATAGGATAATTTAGCATTGAAATAGCTGAGGGATTAGCTTGTGACTGGTCACAGAAGTAGCTATGTTAAAGTCAAAGCCTACACAAGTGATGAAGGCCACTTGTGTTGTGGCCGACCGTCGTGAGAATTTATTGTGTTATTTTATTTTATTATTTTATTCTCATTCTACGTGACTTTACCGAAAGAACCAAAGAAGATGAATCCTTGCAGTCACGAAAGCTATAAAGCTCTTTTTTTTTAGATGTCCAGGATGCAATAGAAAGCACACCTGGAAGTGGAATGGATAACTTCACCGCACAGCTGGAAACCCCCAGTAGTTATCGGAATCCAGGGGCTGCGTGGCGTACCTATAGTCCGTGGGCCAGAGTAGCAATTCGTACCACCTAAGGTAGCAACATATTTCGTGGTACTCATTTACACAGCTAATAAGAGTCAATTCGTCTAAAATGGTTAGCACAATTTACAGTGATTGGCCACTTGAATTGTAACCATTCAAATAATGACACATCGGGTGATACCGGTAAGTGAGGTATTGTATCTGAGGCTGGACTCATGGACAGCTTTGTATATTCAGACATAGGGACAAAGGTGATTCGGCATCATTTGCGTTTTAAAGTTTATATAAACCGTGACGATTGAAAACCTTAGCAAACATTTGATTAGCAGAGGCTCCAGCCAATCCATTAACACCATTAAAGGAAATATTGACCTTTTCACGAGGGAAGTCGCTTTCATGTCAAATAAATAAACCGAGCAGAAAACCCACGCAATGTTAACAGCATTTCAACTTTGACCCCAGTTCGAAGCTCATTATTATTAATCCTACGCCGCGATGCCCTTTTAGTTAAGAATACATAAAAAATGGAAACATCGTAAAACGCGAACAGCCCTGAAAACTGCGACATAAAAATCCAAGCATTGGTAGGAGAGGGGGGGGGGCCTTAAAAAGCCAGGGGGTTTAAAGCGTTGAGGTGGCCTTGTGAAGGGGAGCGGCACCACACAGGCACTCGCGTTGCCTCGTGCAACGTTCAAGTCAAGTTCCAAATCGCGGGCGCTCATCCGGTGTCTCCGCGTTACTCAACGTAGCAGGGCGGCGAAGCCACTTGAGCGAAAAGAAAGCCCGCAGCAGTAAAAACAGCGGCAACAGCAGCAGCAGTAACAGCAGAAGCAGCGATTGGCCCTCTCTGAAGGAATGTTCCAAACAGTTCACAACGAAGGACTCGTTCGACAGGCTAAGGTGGTGCCAGTTTTCAAGTCCCTTGTTCAGCAGGACTCTTTTGTAGCAGCAGGAGGGCTCGGTTGGAGTGTCCGAGGAGGAGGAGGATGTGCGTCCCTGTGGTGGACAAGATGATAGGAGTACGGGAGACCAGGCAGGCTGGCTCGTGGTCGAGGTTTCAACGTTCACGGAGGGCGATTTGTTCGGAGCTCCCGATAGGCATCGTCAAAGTAAAGTGCAGATTCTCGGCAATTGAGGCAGTTAAGCTTAGTACAGCACGGCCGTTTCAAGTAATACCCCTTTTCCAGTGCAGAACCCGAGCCGTGCTGCTGACGCCGCCAACAAACACCATTAACCCTGCCCCTGGCACCGCTTACGTCCCGAGCCGGATTCAGAAGTCTTCTTGCGAGGCCAGAGTTTCGCGGATCGGTTCTCGCTCAGCGTGGCAAAGAATCCAGCAAAACCCACCCCCCCATACCGCGAGGGCTCCGCGTTGACGTGGCTCGGATGTGCCAGTGGGAATAGGCCTATGACAAGAGCCCCGTCCTTTGCCGCAGGCAGTTGGGAGGCATGGGTATCGGCGCTCGTCCCAAGCGACGACAACGAGGAGGAGGAGGATGATGAGGTCGGGAAGCGCGGCGACTCCACGCCGGCAACAGTCGTTGGCGAGGAGCGGCGCGCGTACGGAAGCGGCGACGGCGACCCTCAATCGCAGCAGCCCTTCTTCTTTTTCTCGGGCGCCTTCTCCAGGTGGAACGATTGCCTCTGGATGTCCTCCTGCTCCGCTAGCAACCTGAGCGACGGACACACGCGCAGGAGGGGTCAGAGCGGCGTCCCCGCGCGGGCCCACCGAGATGGAAGCAGACCTGGCCAAGTGGCTTATCGCGTGGACGTTTATAACATCCAAATAATTTAAAAACGCAAGTTTCTAAAATGCGGAGGGAAAAATCGGAGGGCCAGGAGAGAAATCCACGCGACCGCGGGGAGAACGTGCAAACTTCAATTGTACAGGCGTCAGCGTCGGTTGAACCCACGACCTCCTGCATACCAGGCGAGGAAGATTACATCTCGCCACCGCGGCGCCCCATGGAAACATTGTCCCGCGACGGTCGCCAGACAGCCACAAGTGTGAGATAATGAGTCTCCAGCCTGCGCTCTAACTCGACTGCTGACACCGTCTCTCAAAGTTTAATTTCACGTTCGCTTAAACCCGTTTAACGTCTTCGGGCCTTCCGTCCCTAACCGCAGCCTCCCCCCCCCCCCACTTGACCCCCGAGCGCTACTTCGGAGCCCGCCCGCCGTGAGTGTCGCGAGCGGCGTCCATACCGCGCCATGTGCGTCACCGCCTCCGCCACGCTCCTGCCGGATTTGGCGCTGCACTCGTAGAAAATCATGCCGTACTCCTGACGGGCAGAGAAACGATCACAAGCATCATCATAAATTATCCACGATTTATCCACCGCATTAAGTGCACACCGCACCTCTCATGGCTGCATACGGTGCAAAACAAGTTCAACATACATACAGCAACACTTTACGTGGTGATTTTTTTTGTGCAGTCATTGGTGACACAGCTGAGACCATCAAACTCGCTAACTTAATTCGAGACAGCTGCCGGAGATTCAAGCCCAGGCTGTCGGCACTGCTAGGCTCGGCACCTCTGAGCCACCTCGGCTTCAGGGGGAATGTTTTGTGCACGCAGATGGCGGACAGTATGAAATACAATCCATCCGTGGCACACAGGCCATGGACGTGGGGTGTATTACAAATGCTCGGCGGGGCATCGGTAAACATTACAATCTTAATTATGAAAGGGATTTCAACAAATACTTTTTTGAACTCTTTCTTTGCGTACCGTCCGTATTTCAGCATCAACACAAATTCCTCCGGGGAGCTCGTTAAAACGGAGCACAGGCGCTCGCTCACTCCGTCCCTCCGAGACGCGTTGAGCGCCGCCGTGCACGTGCACCCGCGCCGTACGATGCACTTACTATTCACGGCCGTGATTGCAATACATCGCCGTTGTTTTGTCCTTTTCAGTCTTAATGTATGTTTTCGTTTTCACAAATTTAGACCGTCGTTGTAAATATTTCCCTATAGATTCACAGCGTGTTGCTTTTGCATTATGCATACCGTACACTATTTTTATTGTTTTCTAACGGTATTGCATTCAAAGGGGACCCTTTTCTTTCTGCATGGGTCTTGGCTTGCGTAGGATGTAACAACAATGTCGTCTCTCTATCCATGAAAACCCTGCTCAATCTCAACGCTCACTCTGCGGGAGGCTTTTTCTTGGGATATGTGTGTGTGTGTGCACCGTGCAAAGCGGTGGGCACAGTGGCTAGCACAAGGCATTATACACCAGGCAACCCGAGTTTGATTCCCTGCCGTGGCTAACATCGTAGAAGAGTGATATCAGCTGTTGGCGAGTGCCCTCGCTTCAACTACCAGCACTGATCAGCGTAGTGAAGTATGGTCAAAAACCCCCATGACCGACATGTTGTGGAGAGGCCTACATCCAGCAGTGGATGGACAAATGGCTTTATATTATGATCAATATGTAAGTGAATTCACAGAGTTTTTGATTTTGTTGTTTTCACAGTTTTGCGTAAGCTCCACCATGAATTAAATGTTTGCGAAGTCTGGGTCTGAAATCCCATTTCCACTGTCGCGGTATGGGGTGGTTTTCCACTAGCTACTTGCTATACCGAGCTATAACAAAGCCGTGATATGCTGTCCTCACAAGACGTGTGAATCAAGCAGGTCACGATGCATTCATTGCATGTAAGGACACCGCATCGCCGCATCATCTACTACGTGCGAATCGACCCGTCCAATGCGTGTGATATCAGCGGTACACCGCTCGGCTTCTGCGATAGAAAACCATCCCGGCGTTTTCGTCAGCCACGCCGGGCCGGTTCGGCACAGCCCTGGAATGGCTCAGATGAGCCAATGGGATAAAAACAGTCCCCCCGTGTCCACGTCTGGGCTCTCACCTGCGCCAGCCGCTCGCCGTCCGCGACCGCGACCCTGCGCATGTCTCCCTTGGCCTCCGCCAGGTCTTGCTTGTTTCCCAGCAGCAGCAGCACCACGGCGTCACCGGCGCCTTCCTGCACATTCACCGACCGCCGTCAGTGACTCCTCCGCTCTCGTTACAAAGTGTCCGCATTGCCGGAAACTCCGTGACTGGATGACGCCGAGGTGCGCAATCATCCTGCGGCCTCTCAGAGGCGTTTACAAGTCCTACTTTTACTTTTTTCCGCACCGTACGTAGCCAACCGTGCTAATCGAGGGGGAAAAACAACGAACTAATCGCAAAAAGCAAATTTAAATAAATGAGTTTTCAACCTAGACGATTTAAAAGTGCATGGCTCCAGTGGCTCCCTAATATCGGAAGGAAGAGCATTCCAGATGGCCGCAGAAGCGCATCTGAAAGCGCGCGATGCATCGACCGTCTTTGTTCGATGGCCAGCCAAAAGCGCGCGCTGCTGCGAGGATGACCGGAGTTCACAGGATCATGGTTGATGTTCCCCCTGCAATGGAACTGTCGGACTGACAATCGTCCGCGGTCGTGGGGGCGGGGATCAGAAGTTTGGAGGGGGCGGGGGGGGGGGGGCAAGGGTGAATCAAGGATGGACGACGTCACGCACCTTGACGCTGTTCATCCATCCGCGCACGGCAGTGAAGGAGCCCTCGGTGGTGACGTCGTACACCACCACCACGCCGTCCGCCTTGCGGAAATACTGCTTGGTGATGCTGCGGAACCTGGCAGCGGAGAGGACAGCAACGCGAGCTCGCGGGGAAACCCATCACCACCGTTGTGACTGTTGTTGTTGTCGTTGTTGTTGTTGTCGGGTCGCTGTCTCGAAGGGAACGCGCACAAGGGAGAGGTGCGACCCTACAGTCGGCTGCTCACGCCGCTCGCAATTACCGTCCACCAAACTCACACCTCTTGCTGCATCATCACAATCCATGTAAAATAAGCTCAATAAAACTGTGTGTGGCCTAAGAAATAACAAAGTATATGACAGGCGACGTTTTGGGTAACGGCCCTTCTCTATGTGCTGTGAAGAAGAAGGGCCATTGCGCGTAACGTTGCCTATTGTTTACTTTGGTTGTAAGGCAGTGTTACTGGCGAATGTCTTGAGATCTCTTTGTTGTTGCTTGCGCACCATCACTGCCAATGCTGTATCACCCAATAATCAGGAGAACAAATGCACGTCGGCCTTATCGCCGTTCTAAGCGGCACATCCGTTCAACCACAGGGCGGTACGAGAAACCAATGTGAGGCGAGTTAACGTGGCAGCAGAACCGAATAAAAATCAAATAACTTAAACTCCGCCTGGGTTGCGCTCCATCTCACCGTTCCTGGCCCCCCGTGTCCCAGAACTGCAGGGCGACCTTGGCTCCCTCCACGGACAGCGTCTTGACGTCGTAGTCCACGCCTGGCGGGCACGCGCACCACAATCACGACGGCGTTTTTCCGCCGGGCGCAGCGCAAGGGTGGCGGCTCGTCACACACAGAACGTCCACCCCACCCCCCACCCCGGACACCCAGACAGACCTCACATTCCCGATGACTTGAGGACCCCCCCTGCCCCACTCCCCCGCTGTGATCACTTGGCCCAACAGTTTCCGCAAACAGGTTCAACTATCCCCCTCTTGTTCACGCTCCCATTACGCGTTCTTACCTGTTATCCGCAACACCCCAAATCGTCATCGTTACGTGTACGCATGTACGGTGGACTTCTTTCGCACCGTACGTAGCTAACCGTGCCAATCGGAGGTCGTCATCATCAACGTGGTTTGAAAAGAACCTATTTATCCACGAAGCTGCACACACAATGTGATGTCCCAAGGCCTTATGAGCCTATGGGTTAATCCGGTCCTGTGTGCAGGTGCTGCGTGGACTGTATCAAACACAAGACCATGTGAGAGAAGCCTTCATGTAGCAGCGGATAGAACGTGGCTGCCGCTACCGATGGTGGAGGTGGTGTCAGAGTTGAACTCGTTGTCGCAGAACCTCCGGATGAAGCAGCTCTTGCCGACGCCCGAATTGCCGACAAGAACCACCTTGAAGAGTCGCTCGGGGCTCAGGTCCTGATTGCACACAGGAACATCACCACAACCATCGCCACCATCGCCACCATTACCACCACCATCATCTTAAGCACCCACCATTATCATTACATTCGTCATCACCATTATTCCCAATTAAAAGTATTTTCACCGTCGGCATTATCACCGTGGTGACGTGGCCCTAGCAGCAAACACGTTAACTGCCCTTTGCTGCAGCAGTAATAACCGTGAAAACTACGCGCAGTCAGTAGGGAATACGTCACGTGTCTTTCGCGAGAGTAGCCCATTGTTGGTTTTCGGCGTCGTGTTCAAATTGCGCACGAATCGCTCAATTGGAATGCACAAAGCAATCATCGCGAAAACTTCGATGAGACTTGGGTAAACAAGGCTCGTAGTAATAATAATAATCACTACCATTTAGCCAGGTGTCGTTGCGCACCAACGTATGGTCTAGCCAAGGTTGGCAGCGCACATCGATTTGTGAAATTGCTAAACCCCTTGGGCTGGGACGTAATCAGGTGGTGTCAGTGCAGGAAGCGGGTTTGTGAATCAGTCTGTGCCGGGGGTTTGTGCGAGCGCTCCGGTTTCCTGCCACGCGAGGCAAAACGCTCCTTCGCGTGGACATCGCATCACAAGTGCAAGACCCTCCTAAAAATACTCCTGAATTGTAACATCCGTATCATTATTATCTCCAGAATTATATTTCACATTCATGACACTCAATCGGTTTTAACCATGGACATTCGGAGCCTGGATTTTAAGCCCAGCTTTTCAGCGTCGCTGGCTCTCGGCGCGTCCGACCCCTCGCCGATCCACCTCTCCACCTGCCATCTATAAATGCAAACGACGGGCGAACGCACGCCGATGACGGAGCGACGCGCGGGCCGCTCACCCGGCTGCTGACCGTGCTGCGATTGGCCGAGTTTTGCCTCGTCACCTCCTTTCTCCTCCGCTCCTCTTCCACCTCGCTCCCTTCCTTCACCTCCGCCGCCGCCGCCGCCGGCACCTCGACCCGCTTCGGCTCCTCCTGCTGTTCCTCCTCGTCCTCCCGCACGTCCGACAGGTCCGGCCCGCCCCTCCACCAGGGGGACGCGGGCGACCCCGACTCGTCCCTATCGAGGTCTGGGTCGTCCTCGATAGAGACGACACGGTTCCGCCAGCGGTCGTGGCCGGGGCTCCTGCGCGCGGGGCTGCTGGTGCCGCCGCCGCCGCCGCACGGGGACGAGGGCCCGCGCCGCGAGCCGCCGGACTCGGAGCCCGAGCCGCTCTCCGACCTGGCAGCGTGCAGCGCGAACTCCCCCGCTAGCGCCTCGAGGGGGGAGCCAGGAAGACCAGCAGAGACGAGCTGTCTACGCGGAGAGGGAGACGTCAGGGCGGCGGTGCGCACGCGCGCCCCGGCAACGCGCCCGGCACCGCGACGCGCCGCTCGCTAACCTTGACGCCGCGGGAACCAAGCTAAACTAAAACATATTCTTGGTTCTTTCGGTAAAGTCACCACGTAGACGGGAAACAATAAAATAATAAAAATATAAAACAATAAAATTCTCACGAGGTTTCGACTGCAACACAAGCAATCATCATCAGGTGTGAAAACCACAGCAAGAAAATGGGGAAAAAAAACCCGCCACTTTTTTCAAATTTTCTTGCTGTGGTTTTCACACCTGATGATGATTGCTTGTGTTGCAGTCGAAACGTCGTGAGAATTTTATTGTTTTATATTTTTATTATTTTATTGTTTCCCTTCTACGTAACTTTACTGAAAGAACCAAGAATATGAATCCCTGCAGTCACGAAAGCTTTAAATCAAAATTTAAACTAAAACAATTTGTTATTTCACCGCATAAGGCCCACCGAGCTGCACGGCTCTTTTTCCTCAGCTACCTGGCCATCACGAACGACAGCACGGTGAAGTGGCCCGTCACGTCGAAATTTATGGCAGCAGCCAAACACTTTGAACGTGCGTCGATTCTAAACGTGGCGGGGAAAACACCAGAGGACCCAGCGAGATCCGTCGCAGCGCCACTTTTCATCGCGCACCACCCCACGCCGCGCGATAGCGCACGACACCACATCACCCCACACCACCCTACACCACCCCACACCACCCCACACCGCGCGATAGTGCACGACGCACCACACCACCAACCGGCATCGCAATTAAATGTTTATCAACCCTGCACCGCGGTACATCACGATGCGCTGCGTGATACAGCTGATTTAGCATAAGTCAGTTTAGCCTCGATTTTAACCTCTAGTATACCCCACTGTTTATCTTCTGAAGTAGCCCCGCGTTTAACCGCTAATATAATCCCTTGCTATCTCATAGCTTAACCCTTAGTTTACCTATCTTAGCCCGAGGCCGACTCCTAGTGCAGCCGCTCTTTAGATCCTAGCTTAGCTCCTGGTTTAAAACCCGAGCTTTGCCAACATAGATTAGCCGACAGTTTAACCCCGCATCTAACTTTTCGTACATCACATCGTCCATCTCATCGTTTAACCCCTAGTTTAGCTCGTATTTTAGCCTCGAGTGTGACCCCTGTCTCCAGCAGTAGCAGCAGCAGCAGGCGGCTGACACTGGCGGATGTTCATGCGAGGCGCTGTTCACGAGGCCGCCGTCTGCGAGGGGGTTGTGTTCGTGGGCGCACCGTTTCCTGGTGTCAGCCCCCGCCTCTGGGAGATAGTCGGCCATCACGGAGCCCGATCGCTCGAGGACCACCTTGGGACGAGGAGCGGCGGAGTTCTGTTGGGGGGGGCCCGAGTGCGGAGGAAGGGTAGAGGGGGGGGGCAGCAGTTACCAACTCCAACCCCATGTGGCGAGATGTTAACTCCCTCGTCTGGTATGCAGGAGGTCGTACGTTCGATTCTGACTCTGATGCCTGCTGTGGTCACGTGGATTTTTCTCCGGGTCCTCCGTTTTTTCCCCTCAACATTTATTAGCAACGTGCATTTAGAATATTTGGCTACTATACATTTCCACGTGATAAGCCACTTCGTTGAGCTATCATTTGTGGCCAGGTCGCTTCTAAAAAAGAGCTACATAGCTCAGTGGACCTTACCTGGTCAAATAAAAAGTTGATAGTTTTATGTGCCCCCCCCTCCCCCACCAAGACCGACCACCGAATCAACCCCCAACCAACACTGCCTTCACACTGCTCCCACACACAGTCCCCTCTCGCCCAAATCATCAACATCGTCAGTCATAATTTGTCCGCTACTGAATGAAGGCCTCACTAAGCCACCACCACCACCATCCCTCGTGGTCTTGCGATCTATCTCGCCGATGCACACGAGCCGAATCCATTGCTCCATCTCCGTGGCGGTGACCTCTCTAGTGCGTTCCATCCTTTTGGTTGCCATTCTGTCGTTAAATTTCGGCCACATGCCGATCAAATTCCCATAGAATTCGGAACACCCGCAGCGAGCAGTGCACTGCCCTGTAGCGAGTGTATTTTTTCCCCCATGACAATCGTGAACAGCTTCCTTAACGATATCGCGATTGTTTTAATCGCGTTCTCGTCACCTGCGCAAGCGACTCCCGGGCGTCCTTCTCGTCCGTCAGCCGCTGGTTGATCTCCCTGCGAAACAGCACGACGCAAAGAAACCATCACGTGGTCACGTGGTCACGCGGGCACGTGGTCACGTAGTCACGTGGTCACGCGGTCACGCGGTCACTAGGGGGTGATAGAGGGGTGCAGAGGCCGGCCGAGTAAACTTGTTTTTTTTACATGCCTTTCTAAAAGCCAAGGCCCTCCCAACCATCCCCCCCTCCCCGGCACCCCCCCCCCCCTCGTGTAGAAATCACTATCCTCCCGTTAACACCGTGCAATTAAAATAGAAAGCAGGCTAGTCTACAACAATACTATGTAGTTTTCATCCGTGAAAGCTAGACTGAACAGGTCGGGGTTTTAATGACTTTGTTAAAGCTTTGGGTGGTCGAGAAGTCCCCTTATCTGACGAGGTAGGGATAGAACCAGTGCAAGCGAAAGAATGGGCCCCAGGTGATTGTAGTCGCACCCTGGGAATGTTAGGCATTGCCTCATCGGCGGAGTGAAGCGATTGGGAGGGATGTTAGGGAGAGAGAAACAATGGCTTGAGGAGTCCCTGGCCCTGCCGATGTGTTTACAAGGAGTTCGCAACTTGTAAACAAACTCAAAGTGGGGACTACAGCCGATGACTGAACTGAGGCTACGGTTTTATCAGAGGTTGCTTTGGTCGTGGGAGTCATGAATTGGAATAAAGTACAGGACGTGAAATTGTGGAAATGGTAGGGGGCATGGGGGGAGGTGGGGGCACACGTGGGGTAGTGGGCACTCTTTTTCCCCCCAACTATTTTCACGTTCTGGGCAATGGAACCGATAATCGGAAGAAGAAACGACTACCAAAGTCAAGAGTCCACCTTTAATGATGCCGTCGCTGACGATGATGATGATGGTGACAATGAGGTGACAATGAGGTGACGGTGACGATGATGATGACGGTGATGATGACGACGACGATGGTGGTGGCGGTGAGGATTCGCGCGCACAATCGCCCCGTCGCACCGGAGGACGTCGAGCTGACGGACGAGACTCTCGCGCTCCTTCAGCATCGTCTCCGAAAGCTTCCTCTCCTCGCTGCCCGAGCACGGCACCGTGCCACACACACAGACACACACACACAGACACCGGGGTCAGGGTCAGGGATTGTGCCAACGCTCACCATCAGGGTCAGGGGTAGCGCTTAAACTTCATCCTCTCCCCGCCCGCCCACTCCTTGCATGCCATGCCGGCCTTACTAGGCACTTTCCCCATCAGTCTTATCCATCGCGTGTCCGACCACCATCACTGCGTGTCCCCCAACACGGCTCGACTTTGCCATCTTCTCTTCCCCACGCTCGACTCGAGAATCGCCTCCCCCCCCCCGCCGCAATGGCCCCGTAAGCGGGGGGGGGGGGGGGGGGTTGGTGACTGTCATCTCCGCGAGACCGGCGCGTGTGCTCACAGCTCTCGCTCGTGCTGCAGCTGCGCCAGCATCTGCCCGCGCAGGCGCCGCACGTTCTCCTGCGCCGCCTCCAGCTCGGAGCGCCGGTGCTCCAGCTCGTGCTCCAGCTGCTCGTTGGTCTCGCGCAGGCGCTCGTTCTGCTGCTCCGTGGCCGACTGCGTGTTGCCCAGCTCCGCCACGCGCCGCTCCAGCTGCGCCGCGTCACAAGCGCGCGGTGCCACCGACGCACATTCCCATCACGGCACGGCGTCACAACCGCACGGCGTCACAACCGCACTTCCACTACCGCACAGCGTGCCAAACGCAGTGTCGCAACCACGTATCACAGTGCCACAACCACATGCACCAAGCATCAGAACCCTGAATCACAACCACGCAGCGTCACAACCAGACAGGGTCACAACCACACAGGGTCACAACCGCAGCTCCACTACTGCACAGGGTCATAACCACGCAGAATCACAACCACACAGCGTCACAACCACACGGGATCACAACCACACTGGGTCACAACCGCAGCTCCACTACTGCACAGGGTCACAACCACGCAGCGTCACAACCACACAGGGTCACAAGCGCGCAGCGTCACAACTCGTCACCCAACCAGGCATTATATCCAGTCTCAACTCTGCACGTCGACCTCACAAGATCGGCGAGCATTCCGAGCGATTCGGTAGCACGCACAGCTTTTGGGACAAGGCGACAGGCTTGAGGAGGCCAGCATCCAGCAGCGGATCACTCATGACCGATGCTGCTGATGATGACAATGACGACGAGGACGGTGAACGCGCGAACCGTGCCATCGAGCGCTCACCTCCGCCTGCCTCTGAGCGAGCGACTCCAGCTCGCGCTCCTTCTCCGTCAGCTCCTTCTCCAGCTCGGGGCTGCGTGCCGGGTGGCGCCCCGACGCCTCCACCAGGGACTGGACACAAAGACAAAATTCCCCCGTGTAGCCTTTAAAAGACTGTTGGGGCAAGTGCTGTTCTCGCGAGTTGCAGCACCTATGGAGGCCGGTACGGCACACGAGTTGGGAGGGTGGCCAGCAACACGCCCGACCGCCTTTGTCTGCCGAGTAGCAATTTTTAAAGCATTGCACTAGGTACTCATTTGAGGCTGAGTCGACCTAGGGGAAGACCAGAACCAGTTCAGATAATCGTCTCTGGTGTTGGCTGTGAGTGGGAATCGAACTCGGGTCACCTGGTTCATCGTGCGGCGCTACCATCTGCACCACCGCTCCCCACACACGTTAAGTTATTTGTTAATTCGTCGGGCCACCGATTTAAAAATGTGCGCTCTCGTTTGTGAACGTGTCGATTTATTTGTTCATCTTTTAACTAATTTATTCGTTCATTCATCCATCCATTCGTTTGCTAACTTGTGGGCAATAACCCTGCGATTAACGGTAGGCGGTCTTCTCCCAAGTCCTGGATAGCAACACAAGTGTTTTTTTTTATACTCAACCCTCGTTCATATCGGATCATCTTTAGGATGGCACCCCGTTCCCCCCGCTTCAAAACGGACAGCGGACAGATCTAATGCGTTCACAACATCAACCCCAGTAGGAAAGGGTTAATTTAAAACATCGGACAATTAATGACGACATTCGACAAACAACGTGCGCCCCCCCCCCCCCCCCCCCCCCAGCGACGCTGGCTCCCCATCGCGAACCGACCTGGCGCAACTTGTCCTGCTCGGCGCGGATCTGCAGCTCCATCTCCTCGTAGAGGCTCTGCACCGCTCGCTCGTGCTCCGTCGTCTTCCTGAGGTCGTTGGGGGTCACGGTGGGATCGGTGGGGGAAGAGGATGAGGAGAAGATGAGAAGAGAGTCACGCTGAACGCGAGCGAGCCAGCGAGTCAGCGAGCGTGCCGGTGGACTGGCAGCGGGACGGGACAGGTTAGCGGGTGAGCAAGTGTGGGAGCTGGCAAACGAGTGAGTGTGTGTAATGACGGCAGGTGCAAGGGCCAGGTGAGTAGCCACGTGGGTAGCCAGGCGAATGACTGGGCGAGTGGGCGAGTGGCCGGGTGAGTATCTCTGTGAATGACCGGATGAGTGGCCAGGTGAGCAGCTGGTTGAGACTGCGGCTGGGTGAGCGGCGGCCGGCATATTGAGCAGCTGAGCGAGTGGCCGGATGAGTAGGCGGGCGAGCGGCTGGGCGAGCGAGCGGCTGGGCGAGCGAGCGGCTGGGCGAGCGAGCGGCTGGGTGAGCAAGCGGCTGGGCGAGCGAGCGGCTGGGCGAGCGAGCGGCTTGGTGAGCGAGCAGCTTGGTGAGCGAGCGGCTTGGTGAGCGAGCGGCTTGGTGAGCGAGCGGCTGGGCGAGCGGCCGTGTGAGCGAGCGGCCAGGCGGCGTGCGAGAGCGTCCGCGGCGCTCACTTCCTCAGCGCCTGCTCCATGCTGCTGCGCTCGAGCTGCGCGTCATGGAGCCGCGTGGTCACGCGCCCCACAAACTGCTCGAGGTTGGGCAGCAGCTCCGGGCGCTCGCGCCGCATGCGCCGCCACAGCTCCCGCACGTCGCTCTGACTAGGGGCGGTCGGGGGGGGGGGGGTGAGAGAAGTAAAGGGGGGGGGGGAGGGGGTAAGCATTAGGATTATTTGCGGTGTGCCAAGCGGTTATAAGGCCGCAGTTTGATTCCCCGATGATGCGAACATCGGTGGAGAGCGACAGCTGAGCCCGTCTTGGACCGCCAATCCCTCTCCACCACCGCCCCCCCCGACCCCTTCACTGTCCCGCACGGACCAGCGCGGTGAAGTATGGTCAAACAACTTCTACGGCTGGCACAGTGTTTGAATACAATGACTAGCAGTCAGGTTAACAAAGTAATCCTGAACCAAAATGATCAGGTTATTTATTACCTAATTTCGCATTGAACTACGACCCATGTCTCAAAGAGCGGGTTCTTGGCATTAACATCTGAAAGTTCACCAGCATTGGTCCTGGCAAGCCCGACTGCTGACGAGACACTGTGTGCTCATACCGGTCCAGGCTCTGCTTGCATTGAAACAATGCTGCTGAAATTGTGCACTCCCTGAAGGAACTGGGCACTCCGAGAAGGGCCTTGTGTGGTTGACGGGTTTTATAGAAATGAAATTTTTTTAAAAATATTTTTTTTACGTGGAAAAACAGGTACATGCAGTAGACATTGTCTGCTTATTTACAGAGTTAAGATGAGTGTTATGTGTTATGGTTACGTGAAGGTTGCATGTTATTTTGATGTTTTAGAGGAGTATCTATGGCTGAATTAAGGGTGAGCGTTGTTGATGTTGGGTGGGACAGCAAAGTCTCAGTGACGGTACGAGTTATGTCTGTGCGTTAGTGGGAGTGGTGGTTTTGCGGTTAGCTCGCTGCGCTACCAACCCGGGGACCTGAGTTCCATACTCGCTCACGGCCATCTCCAGTAGCGATTATCGGAACCGGTCCTGGTCCTCCCCTAGGTCGACTCAGCCTCAAATGAGTACTTGGTGCGATGTGTAAAAACATCGCCACTGGTGAGAAGAAAGTGGCTGGGCGTGTTGCCCGCCACCCCGTCGTGTGCCGTGCCGGCCTTCATAGGTGCTCGCTAACAGCACTTGACTTGCTCCAACAGTCTGTTAAGGCTATAGGGGGGATCTTTGTCTTTATGTGCAGGGCGGGGGGGGGGTGGCAGCCCTCACTCCTGGAAGTCACTGCTTGCCCCCATCTCCTCCATCATGGCGAGAAACCGGTGCTCCTCCTCGTCCTCCCCTCCTGGCTCCGGCTCCAGCGCAGACCCTCCTCCGTCCTCCACGCGCTCGTCCTTGGTGAACATTCCTGCAGCAAAACGCGGAGGAGCATCGCCAATGACGCCCGCGCACGCATTCCGTTACGCTTCCCAGCGTGCGTGCGGGTGCGCATGGATGCACACGTGCGCGCGTGCGTTCACACGCCCAAACGTGTGCGTCTATACGCACGTGCTTCCTCGCAGGTGCTTAACCCCTTTCCCATTCCGCTGACGCACGCGTACGTCATCGATTGCTCTTCCGGAACCGGAAAAAAATATATAACTTTATCAGTACCGAGGCTCCCGCAAAGCCATGCGGGAGGACGTGTGGCACAGTTTTACGCCAGCTATCGTAGGCCGCGGTCGTGTCGCTGCAGTTCTCTGCGGTGAGCACGATCCCAAGTGATTTGGGACCCTGACATGAGGGGAACGATGCGCGTTCTCACGCGAATCGCCAACAGTGGAACTGCTGGCTCAGCGGTAGGCCGAGCTGCTCACTAACGGACACGGATCCTGAGGTTGCTATTTACTACACCACAAGCACGAAGCACGAGAGAAAAAGATGACGTGTGACGTCACAGCCACCATGAACCCTGCCCCTCTCCCGCCCAGCGACTTACCGAGTCCGCGTGTGAACTCAGCCAGGGTGAGGTAGCCATTGCCCTCCGTGTCGAGGCTGTCGAACACCGACTCCAGCTGCTCGGCACTCAGCGGCAGCTCCCCCTGCAAGCGCTGTCGGTGCGTGCAGGTGTGTGCATGCGTGCGTGCGTACGCGAGCATGAGTGTGTGTGTAAACGAGTGTGAAGAGTGGCAGTGCAGTGGTTAACGCCCTGCGCTAAGAACCCGGCCTCGCTCACAGCCAACATCGATGGCAAATATCTAAACTGGTGCTAGGACTCCCCTAAGTTGACTCAGCCTGAAGTGAGTATGTGGTGCAGTGTGCAAACATCAGCACTGGGGTGACAAAGGTGGCCGGGCGTGGTGCTGGCCACCCACCAACTCCTGCGCTGTGTAGGCCTTCATGTAGGTGCTCGCTAACAGCGCTTGCCCCAACAGTCTGTTAAAGGCTACGCGAGGGATCTTTGTGTTTGCGTGTGTGTATGTGCGTCACCATCATCATCATTATGTCATGATACAAAGACTCAAACTGGATCTCTTGCAGAGTAGTTCAACCCTTCACGTTAGAGAACGGTCGACGGAAGTGGATATTACAGAGCTACTTTTGAGATCCCTTCCAATCACCTTGGGTGAATAACAGTAGGGGCAGCACTTCCCCACCCACCATGTTACGGAGAACAATGTCCATTACATAGCAGGCGTAACTGATACTTTTTAATTCTCAAAGCTGGAATTTTACCAAATTAAGTATAGAGCCAAACTTTAGTTGATGTTTTTCTATCTTACAATCATTTGTGAGTGGGCTGAGGAAATCGCCACTTAACAAGTGAGCAAACCGGTTTGACAACAGGTGGCTGAATCCCCAACTCAACCCCAAGATATCAGCTCAACACTCCAACCTTTTGAGCTTTACAGTAACCCCCTCAATAGCAAATCTTGCCACTACCTCGCCTGGTATACACAGGTCACGGGTTCATTAATCTCCCCACCTTATTAATCGCCCATCATTGCCGCGTAAAATGTTTCACGAAAATAAGAATTCATGACGAAATAATATTTCGCAAAGCACCCAAACACGATTAGCGCGAAGCGTCGCTCCGCACCTCCGATTAGCACGGCTGAGCTACGTACGGTGCGCGAAAGAAGTTCACCATTCGTGCGCACGTACGCACGAGCGACATGTCGCAGCGTGGCCCCGTGCCGCGGCGGCCCTACCTGCAGGTCCCTCTTGCTGATGAAGCCCTTGCCCTCCTTGTCGCAGATCTCGAAGAGCTCGCGGGGGTCCGGGGAGGCCTCGTGGTCGCCGCCGTTCACGTGGCCCGAGGTCACGGTCGCGCCCCCCACCACGGGCCACCCGTCCTCAAAGCTGTCGCCCTCCATCATCCTGGTCCCCGCACCACCCTGGGGGGGGGGGGGGGGAGCGACGACAACGATGAGGACAACAACGACGACAACGATGACGACGAGGATGACGGCGAGGATGACGACGACGTCTCCCCGTTTCTCGCGTTCACGCGCCAGGATTTCGTGCCGATTCGTGGAGCCTGGTAAGCGGCACGAGAGACGGGCGAGCCTAATTATCGGAATCAAAGGTCACGTTTTCTTTTCCCCAATTTCCATAAACTGCTTATGATAAGCTCTCATAATACGACTCCTCATTCATTCAAATTGGTGGAGGAGTCAATACTAGGTGTACCCAAATTTTTAATCAACTATTGACTACTACACTAAGCCTGCCCCATCCATAATCAACCAGTGCCTGGTTGATGTATACACACATACATACAAACACAGGTTCGTCGCTTATTACATAAAAACTTGTAACAGAACCCTAGAGTGATTGAGCCCTTAGGCAAAGAGAACAGCCTCCTTGTACTACTGGAAGAGCAAAGAAGCTTCACGGTTGAATGTCTGCAAATACAACTTGTGAACACAAATAACAAGAATTCACCGTTCCTTTGGAAGTTTTCACGGCTTTGCTGCAATGTCTCCCCAATGCGTTTGAGGGTCGTGCTGCGTGCTGTTTGGCACGAAGTCCGACGTTTCCCTCCACGTGCTGAGAGCTTCTTCAGGGAGTAAAATACCTGAAGAGGCTTTCCAGCACGTGCGGCGGAGCGTCGGACACCGTGCCGGAGAGCACACGGCGCAACCCGAAAACGCAGCGGAGAGACGGAAACTCACCGCGTCCACCAAGAGCAGAAAAAAACGCGACATGGGGCTCACGTTCAGGGCGACAGCCATCGTTAAGAGCCGAAACAGGACGCACCGACAGACCGACTCCGATTGACAACATCGTTGTTGTTGACGAGCGGCCCCCTGACTGGACTCCCCGGTGGTCCCAGAGCCCTCCCTCCTACCTCCTGGCTCGGCAAAGCGAGTGTACGACCATAATAATAATGAAGAAATACTGAAAATATCCTATCATCGTCAAATGTCTCTTATTCACACCCCCAATATCCATCAATTCCAATAACATGCACACCCCCATTCGATCTCCGCCATCGTCTCTCTTACTCATTCACCAAGTCCTTGCACTTTGCCCCAGACCTGATGATCGGTAAACATGGAAATCCGATAAGGCACGAGGACTGGCATTTAGGAAACCCCCACTGTATGCAGGCAATTTGTGAAAGCCCCAAGTTGATTGGGCTGCGAGGTGACCAGGGGATGTCATTACAGTAAGCTGGTTCAGTGAACCCATATATGTGGACCTTTTGAGTATTACCCACTCTGCATGCGTGTCGTGGATTTTCTCTCAGAATTCTGGTTTCCTCCCACATGTCAAACCACCACTTATAATGGAATGGGCCAACATCCGAATGCAGGACCCTCGATGAATGAAGGGCATCATTATTATTATTGGTATTTGATATTTTTTTTCTCCACCAATGTATTGACATTCTGGCGGTCGAGATACATTTCGATCAAAACGATCGCTGATAGCTGATAAAGAATCGTGAGTGGGTTCATGAACCGTGTGGATCTTTTAAACTTTATCCCATCGTATGGATGGTGGGCTTTCTCTGGGGTACTCCACTTTGCTATCACAGGGGGCGTGACTTTTCTTTTCTATACGAGGAATTTGCCAAACATTGCAATGTAGCAGGACCCTCCTGAAAAAGGGATATTGAAACTCGGTGGGGCTTGTCCCGATCAAGGTAAATGAAACACACACGAAAAAAACCTCTTTAAAATAAACACACACCCAAACATGCACTAACAGGACCCTCCTGAAAAAGGGGTCTTGAGACGAAGTGGGCCATGAGCTAGGTAAATAAGTGACCACTACTGTTGTCACTGCATCAAAAACAAACCCTCCACAAAAATGCATTGGCTGGCCCTGAAGGCAAATAATGCTGGGCATTTCCACGTATCTGGGTGCCCTTTACTTCACAAAGAGATTCTTTAACCACCACACAAAATGTCTGCATCTTTTCTATTCTCTCATCATCATCATAAGCCATGGTCAATCCGCGATTGGATGAAGATCCCTCCAGGCTGCCGACACTCTCTTACAATCCTGCGATGTATTAGTCTTGATTTGAAGCTTTCGTGACTGCAGGAATCCATCCTCTTTGGTTCTTTCGGTAAAGTCACGTGGATTGAAAACTCATTTCTTTAGAACTGCCTTTTGTGTTTAGTTTGTTGTCCTTGCCCCGCACCTCTGATGAGCACGGTTGAGTACGTATGGTGCAAAAGAAGTTCAACACACACATTAATCCACCCAGCACCTGCATGTGAACCGATCTGTAATAACTGCAGATGAGACAATATACAGATCTCCCATGCTCTATGCGGGTTCGGTTTGGGCAATTTTGCATATATGTATGCGGATTATATATTTCTAAGCCAAAATTCAGTGTATGCGGTTTCAATTCAGTCACATGCGGCTATGCTGTCGGGCGTGGGACAACATTGTGTGTGTACTATGTGTGTACTGTGTGTGTACTGTGTGTGGACTGTGTGTCGGTACTGTGTGTGGGTACTGTGTATGGGTACTGTGTGTGTACTGTGTGTGTGTACTGTGTGTGTGTACTGTGTGTGGGTACTGTGTGTGGGTACTGTGTGTGTACTGTGTGTGTACTGTGTGTGTGGACTGTGTGTACTGTGTGTGGGTACTGTGTGTGCTAATGTGTGTGGACTGTGTGTACTGTGTGTGTACTGTGTGTGGGTACTGTGTGTGCTAATGTGTGTGGACTGTGTGTGGGTACTGTCTGTGTACTGTGTGTGGGTACTGTGTGTGTACTGTGTGTGGGTACTGTGTGTGCTAATGTGTGTGGACTGTGTGTACTGTGTGTGGACTGTGTGTACTGTGTGTGTACTGTGTGTGTACTGTGTGTACTGTGTGTGTACTGTGTGTGTACTGTGTGTGGACTGTGTGTGTGTACTGTGTGTGGACTGTGTGTACTGTGTGTGTGTACTGTGTGTGTACTGTGTGTGTACTGTGGGTACTGTGTGTGCTAATGTGTGTGTACTGTGTGTGTACTGTGTGTACTGTGTGTGTACTGTGGGTACTGTGTGTGCTAATGTGTGTGTACTGTGTGTAGTGTAGCGGTTAGCGCGCTGCGCTATGAACCTGGCGACCCAGGTTCGATTCCCGCTCACGGCCAACACCAGTGACGATTATCTGAACCGGTCCCGGGCCTCCCCTAGGTCGACTCAGCCTCAAATGAGTACCTGGTGTGGTGTGTAAACATTGCCACTAGGGAGACAAAGGCGGTCGGGCGTGGTGCTGGCCACCCACCCCCTCGTGTACCGTTCCGGCCTTCATAGGTGCTCGCTAACAGCACTTGCTCCTACAGTCTGTCAAGGCTATTTGGGGGATCTTTGTCTTTGTACTGTGTGTGTGTACTGTGTGTGTGTACTGTGTGTGTGTACTGTGTGTGTACTGTGTGTGTGTACTGTGTGTGTGTACTGTGTGTGTACTGTGTGTGTGTACTGTGTGTGTACTGTGTGTGTGTACTGTGTGTGTGTACTGTGTGTGTGTACTGTGTGTGTGTACTGTGTGTGTACTGTGTGTGTACTGTGTGTGTGTACTGTGTGTGTACTGTGTGTGTGTACTGTGTGTGTGTACTGTGTATGTGTACTGTGTGTGTGTACTGTGTGTGTGTACTGTGTGTGTACTGTGTGTGTACTGTGTGTGTGCTACTGGCAGGCAGCGGTCTCGTGCGGTTTTGTATTGTGCGTCCTTTTGCTTGAATGCATCTCAAACTCCTACCACGTAAAGCGGGGGAAACCTGCATGTCAAAACCGGTTTGGAGTTTTGCTCATACCGAATCAATGCCGCTGAAATGATTAACTCCCAGAAGCCTGTGGGTGTAGAATGGGCTGTGTAAAAATACTAAATAAATAAAGAACGTGGAGAGATCGCCATTTAAAGCAGATACGTTGCTTATCTATTTTGTATTTGACAGGTTTTTTTTTAATTTGATGACCTTTCACAGGTTCAGGGGAAAATGAAACCTGCTCATCAGAATCCACCTCGCACACGACACGACGCCACGGGCCCCTCTACATTCCGGTGGTGGTAAATTAGCCAGGGGTCTTTTTTTTCCACGTTACAGTATTCAGATGCTGGAACAAGTTGTGGCGTTACCTCTTCGATGGTAACACAAGGCGGGCAAGTGTCTCCGCTGACCGTTTACGCGATTGACACAAAATAATATAGAGGAGCAGCCCGGCAATTACTTGCTCTTCGCAGGCCATACGAAAGGAGACGACTGAGACTGGTTGGAGACGTGTAGAGGCTTTGAAGTATCAAAAAAGTTGACTCTCTATACATTTTCTCTCGATTATTGCTAGTGGGGGTCTTTATACAGTGAACAGTATTTACCTCAGAGTTTGGGGTTTAATCCATCACCGCTGCTGAGCACAGGGCGCAAAGGCACGAGACGGCACGACTGGAGGTGGCGATGGACAGGGGGTGAATGTGTCTTCTTTACGCGAGCAAGATCGCCGTAAGAACTTGAGAAAAGAGAATTCGAGATTTGCCAAAAGTCGAGCGGTGCAGAGCGATGAGAAGAAGAGGCAGAGAGAGGGAGAAGTGCCGTGACCTGCAGTGCGGCGAGTGTGGCTGGCGAGTGGGTTGTTGTTGTGTCCTGCAAGCGCGGTGGTCGAACTCAGCGAGACGAAACAGTTCAGTGATGTGGACCGAGTCCTCAACGCGGCACAGGGGGAACATCAATGAGCGAAGTTCACGGGGGGCAACAGCAAGGACGATGGAAGCAGCAGAGGCATAAAAGTAACCTTAATCAAGCGACTGAGCAGGACCACTCTCTTTTTGTCGAGCGTCCTTACAACAACCACCGATTGCTCACCTCAGAACGGGCGTCGCTGTGGACCGGAGTCTCACGGAGGCGACCGACGCGTCGCGACCGCGTCTCCTCCCGCCGGGGTTGGCGTGCCCGACTTTGGGGGCGAGTGCCGCGCCGCACCTCCTCGCGTGACGCCACTTCGCACGCTCCCCCCCACACCCCTCCTCTTCACCTGCGCCAGGCAACGCAAATAAACAACGCCGGTTGGTGGAAAGAGGAAGAGAGACGAAAAGGAGAGAAGGAAAGAAAAAAAAATAAGAGGATCGCGAAACGTTTTTAAGTTTCGCAGACGGAGAGCTGCCGCTCCGAGGAGACGTCGCGTCGCAATGCGAGCAAAGGGGGCTGGATGGACGCGTGTCTCTGCGTACGATCTAACAAGCCCTTTGGGAATCGTGAATCTGGGTGGACCGGTCTGGGCGTGGGACACACACCCCATCAGCATCAGGGGCAAGATTAGCAAGCAGAGTCTTTTACTGAATACCAGGTGGAAGCACACGGAGACTCGCACCTCGTATCCATTGGACAGGCGACTTGAGCTTGGCCTGAGTTGACCCAATTTCTCCCAGAAACGCGAGTTGAAGGACAACTTGAGTCTGGTGTAAAAAAAAAAACAGTGGCATTCCATGATTTTACAACGCACAGTCAGAAATAAATCATTGAGAAGTCAGTTAAACAAAATGTGCACAGTTTAAAAATCTGTGATTATGCAGTGTTATTTTTTAACCTTTTGGTTTGTAAGATTCCACCCCCCTCCCCCACCGCCCCCCTGGGCTATCTGCACTGCTGGCCCTGTCTCACAGTTCAAGTCCGAGCTCAACCTCTTCCTCCCCCACCTTCATGATGATGATCAATCATCATCATCTTTGCCTTTATAGGTCACTTCCTTCCATACGTTAGCAATGCAAAGCACCCCACAGCTCATGTCAACCATCCGAAGGGAACCCTCAGCAACAGCTGTCCCTGTGCGGCGACACTAGATGACTTGGCAACGGCCTACGAACAAGCACGAGTCTGCTCGTTGGGGGGGGTACGATTGCGATGCATAATCCCAATTGAGTAAACTTGCAGGCAAGTAACTTATTCAAATTTGTACAAGTTTGGACCCGGACACAAAGAACACGATGGCCTACTCTTCTTTGAATGACGCTCACGGGATCTTTAACGTCCACTGTGAAGCTGACGGAGCGCTTCTCACGGTCGACGTGCTCGTGGCATTCGCCAGGGTGGCCTGCCGGATTTGAACCGTGAACCTCTTGCAACGTGCAACGAACACGCTGCCGCTACGGGTGGTACAGTGGTAACACTCTTGCACTCTTCCGTCGCATCACTGGTGTTGGCCAAACATCCCAAGTCTGCTGACTTGAGTGTGGCTTTTCTGCATAAATAAATCATGATCAAGTGGAGTCATTGGCAGTCAATGCAATATTTTAAATTATTATGTAAAGTGGTTCCATTTGCGACGCCTGAGAATTGTCCTGGTCGCCAATGTTGTAATCGATTTAATAGCCGGGAAGGCCTACAAATTGCCAACTGCGGTAGTCTAGTTTGGACGGGACCGATTTCCGCACCGTCATCAGCGTTAATAAATACGAGATCCGCGACACCCTCAACGGAAGATCACAGGCAGATTTGGTGACATTGCCGGTATGTGCTTTATTTTTTGTTAGTTACATTAGGATCAACGTGTGTGCCACTTCCGAACATCGATGGACTTTTACTTATTAATTTCGCCCTCAATTTTACAAACGTACTTCATTTCGAGTAAACACCACCTATTGAAACCGAAGGTGGGAACTGATGGCGTGGTCCGGTGACCGAAGCCACGGTGGGGCCTGCCAGGAGGCTGCGCTGCGCTGGTGCAACCTCGGGGAGCGACACGTGCCGGTTGTGCAACAAGGCAGCCAATGGGAGCGAGACGGGGGGCGCGCGATAGACATCTGTGAAAAAGAGCTTTATAGCTCATCGGATTCTTCCAGCATGAATAAATATTCTGATTCATTCAGCAGCAAGTGAACTGCACGCACAAGTCTCAACGGCAGCTGTTGACATTTCAGAGCATTCCATTGCATTCATCACATTTACTCTTAATATTCTAAATCTTTTAGGTGTTATGTTGTTCGTTATCAGCACAGGGGGTTAGGGTGGTTGAGACGGCCTGTGAACACCGCGTTGCTCAATCTGCCTGAATCGAGTTTTTGTTTTTATTTCAATGCTCTTACTCTTACCCTTTACAGCAGAACGTCTCTCATCCGCCACGGTGATGGTGGAAGAACATCATGGCTCACATTGTCCATGAATTTAAACAACATATCCGTGGGGAAACAACAATCAAAATACGGATAATCATGGATGACAGAAGTCATGGTAAGAGGAAGTCATGCGAAGAGCAGTTATGGTAAGAGATCAGAAACAATCAACCATAATTTTTATTTTGTTTGTGTGCACAGTTAATATGATCACCTTGTACAGCGTTTCGTCTATACAAGTCTTTAAAAAATCTAATCATGATTCAACTAATTTCCCACGGACTATTGCTTCCATTCTTGTTAATAAATAACCACAACAGTGCCATCATCACTTTACTGCTCATGGCAGCAACTTAATAAAAAAATTCCCCCATTCACAATGCTTCCAGCACACTTCCGATCGCCCAGGGACACACAGCCTCAGCCTACAGCAGCGTTCTTCACGGATTTTCAAAGGAGGGCGGCACTTTCGCCGATAAGACATCATCAGTGTTAGGGCCGTCACACATTGGAAACCATTGAGGTTTGGACAGCAACGCGCTGATGATGATGATGGGTGGCGTTTTCACCATTTGTGTATTGCCTGGGGGCCGCATGTTAAGGGCCGCGCTAAAGGCCACCAGGGGCCGCGAGTGGCCCATGGGCCTTGCGATGAAGAACACCGCACGACACCGTGGCTCTGCGACTTGCGGCCTTGTGCTCCCTCGTTCTTGGACATTGATTTTCTAAAAGTAATTATTTTATTCAGAAAGTTATTAATTTTGTTTGACGTGAAAATCAACCCCCTTCCCCACCGCCCTCCACCCCACCCCTATCAACTAAATTCTTCACCAGCTGCCTTTGGTCAAACATTTAAGAAATAATGACGGAGTGAAGCGCCTCTCAAAAGGACGCCTCGTCCGATGCATTTATCCACCACGCATGTTCACGACACAGCATAAACCACCGGCGGCGCACCACTTCTCCGGCGTGTGTTCGGATTGCGCCTCGTATTGTTCGACATCACGTCCGACGTTTCGATCCACGTGCCGGGGAGATTCTCGAGTCAGTCCCTGAAGAAGCTCCCCAGCACGTGGAGCAAGATGTCCCCGCACATCATCCTGAACAACACGCGGTACAACTCAAGATATTAATAACCTCTATTTTTCTTCTTTGGTTCTTTCGGTAAGGTCACGTAGAATGAGAAAATAATAAAATAACACAATAAAATTCTCACGACGTTTCGGCCGCTTGCGTTGTGGCTGAAACATCGTGAGAATTTTATTGTGTTATTTTATTATTTTATTCTCATTCTACGTGACCTTACCGAAAGAACCAAAGAAGATGAATCCTTGCAGTCACGAAAGCTTTAAATCGAAATTTAACCTCTATTTTATGAGGCGTCTTATTGAAAGACGCTTCAATATGAAGGACACTCACAAGTATAGTTAAAAGTCTAAGCGAAATAGAAAGTTGATAAGAACAATATCAATGACTACTCTCAAAATTCCAATACACATCGTAGCACAACTGCAAACCCCATGCGGTAAACAGCTGGTAAATGCTGAACATTGGGGGGCAGTGACACAGTAATCAGTTCACTGCGCGATGAACTCAGCGACCCGAGATCAATTTCCGGCCATCCCGTGCCGAGTACATACAGTGTGATAAATTAAAATTACAGCCCTTTTTAAAAAGCAATTGTCCTCCCCTACAGATGAAAGACACGGGCTTCCATGCCTGCTCGTTCGTTTTAAATGGCCAGGTGTTCAAGGGTAGGAGAGAGAGGCTCACAATCGGAAGGCTGCGAGGTCAAATCCTGGTTGGGGGTTGAGTAAGACCACCATCCCTTCGGGGTCAATAAAATAAGTTCACATTGGAAAGTCTCACCCCCACCATAATAAGCACGTGGAAATTCAGTCACTGGATGAGGGCTCTAAATAGATGATCACCATCTCACTGCTATGTGAGCAGCAAATCGCTGACTTTGTGAGTATGAATTGTGCTGTATTTTTAGCTTAATTTGCACTCACTCACAAGATATACTCAAATTTCTCTGCATGCCAACATCTGCAGAATAAGCCCTCAGGGAAGGGCTTGACTGAATGAGATGAAAAACATATTTGCACGATGAGGGTTTCTTTATTGTTGTATACACGTAATTCTGAGTCATCGGCCAGCGACCTTCAAAATACACCACAAAGGGGAACCTGGTTCTGCATTTGGTGGCTCAAACTTAGGACCCATCACCTCAAGAATTGAAGATGATGATGGCTAGTGGTCAAGACTAATAGCAGTGGCAACCAACACAGAGAATGGGCACCACGGTAGCGAAATGTTAACTATCTCGCCTGTTATACATGTGGTCACGGGTTTGATCCTGACCCTGATGCCTATATATTTGGAGTTGCGTGTCTCTCTCTACCCTTGGTCGCGTGGATTTTTCTCCAGGTCCTCTAGGCTTTCCCTCCACATTTAGAAACATGCACTTATAGTATTTGGCTGCTATAAATTTCCACGCGAAAAGCCACTTCGTGAAGCTATCACTTGTGGCCAGGTCGCTTCTAAAAAAAAGAGCTATGCAGCTCAGTGGGCTTTACCTGACAATATAAAAAATAGTTTAGTTTAGAATGCGCCCGAGGGAAACGAATGTTTACTGCGGCGTCGCTCGTTACATTGCAAGATTGTGAGAGGCGGCGGTGGCTTGGGGATTCCATCATCCAGCAGTGGATGGATCATGGCCGATTTTGATGTGGTCTCAAACTCAGGACTCCAGCGTTGTTGGGTCAGTGCCCTGGCATAGGATTTAGCGAGCACCTTTAACCTCGTGAGCTACTGGCCACATCAGGCCATCTTAAGTTAATACCTCCACACTCCGCCCTAGTAAGCCGCTTAATCACTCGAGAACGGGGGTGGGAACCTACGTCCAGGGACTTAATTCCATACGGCCCCTGGCCACGTTAGGTCTACCACCTGGAAACAGCCCGCCGACGATAACCATTTCACACTGGAGTCCCCTTAGCTGCACTGATCAGTCGCTGGATGGGGAATATTTTGGACCTAGCATTTGGGCCCTAGCAGAAATACTTTTCTGATTGTACCACAACTTTGTTTTTGTGAAGGTGCCAAACCAATGACTCATTCAATAAATGAGACGATAGATAATTACAGGATTACACCCAATGTGCATCATTAGGTGGGATGATTTTGAAGTGATGACTTTAAGGTTGCCCAATTGGTGGAGGTGCCCTATGACTAAAGTTTCACGGATGTGCTCTATGGCTCTCCGACGTGTTTTCGGGTTGTACCGCATGTTTGGTGGCACGATGTTCGACGTTTTTGGACTTAAATTCAGCTCGAAGCAGCGT